TTTTAAAAATCTTAAATACAATCTCTTCTTCTTTCTAACACAGTTTCCACACATCCAGAGAATTTCCTTCGCCAACTGTCACCAAGGTCTCACTCTGGAGATTGAAGGAGACAAAATCATGAACATTTTCCAAGTTGAAATAGATCTCTCTAATCTATTGACTTACCTTTTCGTGCAACCAACTGTCTCGCACTACTTGCTTATTTTCTAATAAAGGATCAGGTTCTTTCGAATCAGTCTCAAAGAACAAGCATCTTAGATATTGTCTGGAAAAGAAACGAATGTTATATACATAGTATTGGTATTTATCAATATTCATATATTTTGAAACAATTAAGAAATTATTTCAAATATTTATCAAAACAAAAATTGTATTTAAATAATTGTAACTCAGATAATTGTAACAAAACTAATTTAAAATTTAAATAATTCTGTCTTTTCTTTAATAATTATAATTAATAAAATTTTAATGAACTTTCATTACTGTTAGTGAGAAAATGGCTCTTTCTGATTATTTTTAAACAGCAGATATTTATGACATTGACACTTGAGAAAGTAATATTCTAATTTGGAGTAGTTGTATAGGCTATTTACACTATTCCAAATTATAAATTAGTACCTTTTAGATGTGCTACTGCCTGTCAGCGCAAACTTCTGAAAACGCAAAGGATGGTCACTCGTATGGACTTTTACTACATAGCAATCGTCAGGATTTTCATCCTGTAAAGAATAAAATTCATCCAGATTTTTTTCAAGGAACACAATAAGGTAGGTACAATTTTATTATTATATTAAAAACCATGCAAACCGAAAATATGGCTAAATCTTTGCGTTCGAGTGTCACGAATGGATTGGCACATTCACAATTCCAGAATTGCAGCGTTTCTGCATACGTTGAACACCATAAGAACCTGTTGGTTAACCAACCTAGCCGAGCCTAAAAAATAAAAACGATACGATTAATAAAATCTTCCCTATGTCTTCTAAAAATACACCCAAGATGATCAACTTACCACTGATGATTCAGTATTTAACGAGTACGTTAAAGCCTGATCTTCTGAAGATTGCCTAAGGTCATATATATTTATAAGACCGTCTGTACTGCCTGATGCCAAAGTAGCAGGCTTAACAGGATGAAAGATCAACGAAGTGATATCATCTGTATGTGATTCCCAATATCCACCAAGAAAATTAAGATCGGAAAACATTGGGTGGTGAACTTTCTTTTTTTTATATCTTATATCCCAAAACAAGATGAATGCATCTCCACCTGTAAGTTCTGTCCCAGCAGCTATATACTTTCCATTACAGTTGATGTCAAAGCAATTTATACTTTTCAATTTCCCTCCTTCCATGCTAGCTAAAATATTAAGATAATACCATTACAACAGTTACAGAGTATCTAATTATAAAAAATTGTACTCGTAATTGTGTTAGAGTTAACTATTACTTTCAAATGTTTCCACAATCTCAAATGCCATACGCTGATCATACATAGTAATTGATTCTTGAGTGCCTATATAATATATATCTTTAGAAAAATTACTGAACTTAATTCCCAAAACATCTGTCCCATGATTTTCTGGTTTACAGTCTTGTATTTTTACAGGACGTAAGGATTTATTAAGTACAAAAAATATTATACAGTTGGAAGTTTTATCCAGCACTGCAACGTTACTGTCTGAGTCACTATAAATAATAAACGATAGTACATATGATAAAAATAAAATTGATACATACGAACAATTGATACATAAAAACAAAATTGATACATATGAACAATTAAGCCCCTTCACGTTAAATCTAGGTACAAAATCGAACAAATACATCAGTAACAAAAATCACCAAAAATATATTATTGAACATAGAAAAAAAAAGAAAGAGTAGTATACTTAGATCTTAAAGAAGTATACAGGGTGTCATGTAACTGGTGGTACAAGCGGGAAGGTGGATTCTACATGAAAAACTGAATAAAAAATATAGAAAATTTTTTCATACGAGGTTTTATTTCCGAGAAAAATGACTTTGAAAGTTTATCGAGTACGCTTCATCAAGTCTTAATTCAACGGATTTCACTGTAGATTATCTCTATTCATGTTCGTAAACACTAAATGGATCAAATGACACAGAATATGACAAAGTATATCGGTCTTTATAATAATTAACTGCGGCCGAAGCATGCCGTTACATGCACCTAGCGCACGAATCATGTCCGTATACTCTCAATTGCCATATGTAGTCATATCGGCAATATAATAGAAATTAAGAACTCAATTCGATAAGCGTAAGAGTACGAATACAAAAAAAAAAACATTGACGGTATTTACAAACATCAAGATAGTCTACAATAAAATCCGTTGAGTTGAAACTTGATCAAGTACATGCGTACTCGATAAACTTTCGAAGTTATTTTTCTCGGAAACAAAACCTCGTATGAAAAAATTTTATTCTATATTTTTTATTCAGTTCTTCTTGTAGAATCACCACCTTCCCGCTTGTACCACCAGTTACATGACACCCTGTATATTATGAAAAAGAAAACTATGTATTACGTGCTAGAGCATAAGATACTAAATAGAAATTGTAATACGAAAATGATCAGAAAATTAGAATGTTTATTACAATATATAACAATGCTTTGCATACAATATTAAAGAACAAAGTGTCACATTAAGTGACCATATTGTTAATAAGATACTTAATAAAAGTGTTTACTGATTATAAACTATTTAACAATTTTTAAATCAATAATCAAGTGTAGTGTCACACTTTTTTTGTAGATTTCACGTGAAATATTTCATAAAGGAAAATGTAGAACTTGCCATTGAGTTCCAGAGATACTTAGAACGCAATATTGTTCCTCGCCTTTTTTAAAGATTGGCCCATTATCCCATTGGGTATGTTTATCCATTTTTTTATTCCTCAAATTCAGTTTCCTTATAGACTCACGTAATGATATTGCGGTGTGCCATGTCCACGTGAATTCCATCGTGAGACAATAATTTTTTTTATATTGAATAAATATTAAATACCTGCAATCTAAATTAAATAAGGTTTTTTTGACATCAACTCCTCGTTACTGTTCTTAAATATGTTCAACATTGTATTGTTACACTTTACTTTTTTCGTTTTTATATCGACCAATTTTCTTGAGAAACTTGTATTATTTCCAAGGCATTAATATAGTTTTCAAAATATCTTGCACTTACGTAGAGTATTTCACATTTAAGTGTGTAGCAAAATAAGAATGGATTGATTGAAAAATCACAGTTTGTCTTAGAAGCAACGGTTATATTTCAAGTTCTTGTACAAGTACACTAGCATCAGAGGCTTGTCGAAGTAAATAATAAACACATCCGTCCAGCTCGACCGATCCGCAACGACTCTCCAATAATCAATTTGAATCAGTTATATTGTGAAAAGAGTCATCGATTATACGCAACAAATCGTTATTGAGAGCCGTAGACGATCAAGTCAACTACAAATAATTAAATTTTTTTGTATATAAGAACTAAAAAAACGTGAAAAGAGAAAATAATTTTTTTTTATTGAGTATTTAACGTGCCGCCAACCACGTGATAAAAGCAAAATAAGCATAGTAGAAAGGTTATGGTTAGCCATAGACGTAGTAAGTATAGACTGCTCGTGGCATTTGCAGTGTCGAGAATTTAGAAAGAGTAAGAAGACTTTGAGAATAGAATGCCTTTCTCTGTCACACATACACCTCCTAGCCAAGTAGAAAGGAGATAGTGATTCTATTGAAATTGTGCGTTCTCTGTACGCGCTCCGTTTAGATGTAGAAATAGGAAACGAGCAGTCTATACTTACTACGTCTATGTGGTTATCCGATGGAACGACAGAAGGAGCAGCTTCGAAATTGATTGGTCCATTTCCTTATGTATTTGCTTATGGACTAATAAATTTCCTTATGCATATGTTTATGCGACTATGGCTGTGTTCCAAAATCCACAGTACTGAAAATCTATAGTTTACGTAACGTATATTGTAGATTTTCAGTACTGACAGTGAATTTTGGAACGCAGCCTATGCAAGTTTGTCTGGATAGGTCCTTACTGCTCACTGTGATTGGTTGATTTGCTTACGCTTTTTGGATACGGCAAAAACTTTTTTACGTGCAATGGCCTTAAGGCCCTTAAGTAACGTCGAACGTAACCTCATGGCTACTACAACCATGCGTCTCTCGTGCAACATGGCGACCGGCAAAGGACTGGCTGTGATTTTCCGACAGAAAACTATCAACTTGATCGGCAATAATAAGCTAAACAAATTTTCGTGCAATGTTTTGCAACAGTGCAACACTTGTGAGCGACACATGGCGACTATTGCATCGACTGTCGGTGGCTCAAATCGCAGCAAAGCAGAGAAAGGTGAAGTATACCCTCGTGAGTCGTGGCCACTTCGGTTGGATTACATCATTATCTATTTTCCTATGAAATTCCATTTGCGGCAGCTCACCGGCTTGTCAATCGCTCGTTTGTCTCTCGCGTTGGCGTTCGGATGGTCGAACGCTTGTATCTCTATTCGTTATACGATTTTATGCGGTTTTCGTCGTTTGATACATACCGCATGCAATGCTTTCCTAATATCTTAACCTGCAATTTCGCATTATGTATATACACATTTGTCATATACAGTATATATTGTTTTCCAGCAAAGGACATAAGTTGACACAAATCGACACAAGTATCACTCTGTTTTTGTTCGATATTCAATGAGCAACAGAGAGAATAATACTTTTGTGTTGCTTGTGTCTCTTGGTGGAAAACTACCATATTAGTCTGCTCTGAAAAATTTGAGCGCCAAGATATTTTTCTCTAAAGTATTATTGTATATATGTATATCAATTAATCTGTAATAGAATTCTGTGTCTCTGGACAATCGAGTAATTCAAATTTGATTTAGCTTTCTTAATATCTAAATCAGATTTGTATACACGCTGACTTTTTCAACATTTATTTCAGGTAACTTGGGAAGGATAGCTCAGCCACACAGGGCCTTACATTTAACAAATAGATTGTTGAAACGTAATTATTATGAAATTTTGGGAGTATCTAAGAATGCTTCAGCAAAAGATATAAAAAAGGCTTATTATCAACTCGCTAAGAAATATCATCCTGATACGAATAAGAAAGACCCAGACGCCAGCAAAAAATTTCAGGAGGTTTCTGAGGCATATGAAGTGTTGAGTGATGACACCAAGAGAAAAGAATATGATACATGGGGCGCAACCTCTGAACAGATGGGAATGGGAATGGGTCAGGGATCGAGTCAGGGGCCCAAAAGCTACAGTCAACATTGGCAATATAGATCAACTATTAATGCCGAAGAATTATTTAGAAAGATATTTGGCGATGCTGGATTTCAAAGTACATCTTTTAATGATTTCGAAGATTTCACAGAGTCACAGTATGGTTTTGGAGCAGCTCAAGAGGTATACAAATTGATTCATGTGCCAATTACTTAATACAAAACTAATACTCTTCTTTTTTTTACAGGTGATAATGAATTTAACGTTTTCTCAAGCTGCTAGAGGTGTGAACAAGGACATCAATGTGAATGTAGTAGACATTTGTCCAAAATGTCAAGGTACGCGTTGTGAACTTGGAACGAAGCCGGTAAAGTGTCACTATTGCAATGGTACCGGAATGGAAACAATAAGCACTGGTCCTTTTGTGATGAGCTCGACTTGTCGGTATTGTCACGGCACAAAAATGCACATCAAGTTTCCTTGCACAGAATGCGCAGCAAAAGGACAAACGGTATCGATTTTATTCTCTCATTTCTACGAGAATTATTACCGCTATTCTTTTTATTCGCAATTATTCTCTTATTGATGCCTTTTCACAGGTGCAACGTAAGAAAGTAACCGTGCCAGTTCCAGCCGGAGTGGAGGACGGTCAAACGATCCGCTTGGCGGTGGGCAGGAAGGAGATATTTGTGACATTCCGCGTGGAGAAATCTCGTTACTTCCGCCGTGACGGGCCTGACGTGCACACCGACGCGGAAGTCTCGTTGGCGCAGGCGGTGCTCGGCGGTACGATACGAGTGGAGGGCGTGTACGATAACCAGACTATACAAGTAATGCCGGGCACGTCGTCCCACACGCGGATCCGTCTGAGCGGCAAAGGATTGAAGAAGGTCGATGGAATCGGTTATGGCGATCATTACGTGAACATTAAGATCACTATACCTAAACAAATGACTGAGAAACAGCAGGCGTTGCTCCAAGCGTACGCCGAGCTTGAGAACGACACCCCCGGCAGTATATACGGTGTAACAAACAAAACGGATGGTAAGGACAAACAATGAAACGTAATTCTCCACTCATGACAGGTGCATTCGAGTATCCATCGATTTGTATGTACATTTGTTTGTGACATCATCCGTTCTACTTCGAATATTTTGTGATATTGCAACAGTATTCTTTCCGTTGCAATCATTTATCTTCATTAAACATTTACGCGTGTCGCTTGAGTTTTCCCCTGTGTACCTGCTACTGCTAATTCAATAAAACGAATGTTAAAATGTTTCAAAAGTGGGTTTCATTGACGTTTTACAAAATGAAACGAAAGAGATTGTCTCGCACACGAAAATTCTTGCGATAACAGTGGAATTTTGAGTGAAACATTATTTAACTAAACAGTAATTAACTCGATGATATAAGCGAGTACATATCTTGAAGTGTAGTCTCCTTTATCAGTAGCTGCAATATTTTTTCTAGGCACGGCAGGTCCAAAGGTGCAAACTCAAGCAGGACAAGAGGTCCAAAATAATCAGACTAATCAAAATGATGGTCTACTTACAAAAATTAAAAGAGCCATTTTCGGATAAAATCAAATTGTAAGTAAATCACTCGATAAAGCTTAACTCATTTCTCACATGATTGTCATAGATACTAATTAAAATATTTTCTATAAATAAAATTGTAAATTGTTTTAACACAATTTTCCACTTGTCGCAGACCAGTCAAGTTTAGATTTAAAGAGTAGAATCACATTTAAGAAACAGATTTTTTAACTTTGAGAAATATTCAATTTCCAAATTGCTATTACAAAATCTCTATCAGTTGATTAAACTTTTATGACAAGATTTATCATAAAAGTTAAATTTTATCATACTTATCCTATAAATTGTGAAAAACTTGTTAATACAAATCACTATTTATCTTGCAGGTACGAAAGAGTGCTACTCAGGTCCACTACACTTAGTAGAATCCATACGAACAGCATTGGGAACCATGTCTCATCGCGAGGAACAGTCTTCTGAACCTGAGCATCCAGGAGACAAGCCTCTTAATAATAAGTCTGTGCATGCTACCAAAGATACATCGGATAGAAAAAGTGAAACTGACGCTGGAAAGCAACGACAAAAAATGTCGTAAGACAGAATCACGAATATTTTAATGTTATTTACAGCGATCTAGAAAATGTTATTAATGCCATTGTATCATTGATAAATGCGCGAGTATCGGACAACGGGATTTAGGGGCCTGATGTCATGTACACTTTCATTTTAATTTGACCAAAAAAAAAAAAAATCGTGACGAGTAAACGAGTAAAGTCAGCCTGATGTCGCTTAGATAATTTTAGCTGTACAGTCGTAGTATACGAGTTTGTCTTTATTTGTTACATCTTATTTAAATAAAGTGTACATGAAGATACATACAGCAGAGTTATTTGTACATCGCAATTGCCATGATGTACATTTGTAAAATAAATTCTGCACACCACTATGTGCCTTTATGTATTACATCCTATTGTATCCTTTTATTTTTCATCCTTTCCTATCTCTTATTTGTACTTCTTTTGTTTAGATTCATTGTTACGGATATAAATGATACAAAAGATGTTTTAGAACATGTGAGTTGATATATATTCGATTGTGTAATTTTGCTTGCTACGTATTATTGTTTACAAAATAAAAGATGTATCGTTGAAAGTACATATGTATAATCTTTGTACTTTTTTTTTTGCAGTATAATTACGAACAGTTCGACAATGGAGAATAAATCACCATGTTTTGATGATAACAAACATAATATAACAACAGAACGCAATAAGCAACATAATAAGCGCAATATCGACGAATTATATACAGCCTTGGCCAAAGTTATTGGGCATCCTATTAAAATACTTTTTGCAAAATAACAATTTATTTTTTAAAAGAAATAAAACATTTCTTAACTCTAACAACTTCACAATACTCTAATAAACAACTTTTAAACAATATAAGTCTTTCCTGGTATTAGATTTAGTACAGTATGATTATGAGAGTGCCTAATAATTTTGGCCAAGGCTGTGTGAAGATAAATTTTATATAAAGAATTATATAGAGAGGTTGACAAAAATAAAATTATATAAATTAACGCGTTAAATTACATAAATTAATAATACGATCAGCAAGCTGTGAATTCGATGAATTATGCTTCGATCAGCAAGCCGTATTTCAGTCCGATGTTTGTGAGACTCTGCGTCGCTGATACTCGTAGCAGTGCTACTACTATCGCCGCAATGGTAACAGCACCTTCCAAATACAGACCGTACAATATCCGCACGTGACCGACGATAGTGGAGAGACCGCCCGCCGCGGTAAAGTCCAATGGAAATAGCACGCTTGCCTCGATTGGCCTCGATCGCGCTATGCCGAAGCATAGTATTCCCAAAATGTAGTAAGCGACTACGGTAAAAACCAAGGTGTTTTCTTTATGAAACATTTACTTAAATAATAAAATTCTTTCGACTCGTTTTTCTACATGGAGGTCCATGCATGCCAATTCCAGTCGAGAGAAATTTTTCTATAAATAGTTCACCTGAGCAAACAAACAGCAGAACTTTAACCCATCTCGGCATCTGCGTGGAATAGCTGGACTCCGCGTTGTCGAGTTGCACGCCTTGCCTGGCAATCGCGTATCTTTTCAAACGGAGAGCCACCATCAGGCCGAAATTCAGCACGAGAAGGAAATGCGCGGGAATGCCGATAGCGGCGAAAATCAATCCTACCGTGCGACCGGCGGTGGTTCGTGGAACCGGTGCTCCGAAACCTGCAATATTCAAATATAAGGGGAATCTTTTCGAACAAAAAAGATCGTGCGATTATACGAGAATTAGCATGCCTAAAGTGGTGATTAACGAAATGGCGAACAGCACGCAGCCGGGAAACGTCCACAGCTGTCCGCTGTTGCCGCCTTCGCCGTAACCGGAACTGACGGCGACCAGGAGGAGTTCCTCGTGTTTGCCCACGTACTGGCGAACCTTGTCGCTCCACAGCGGCTCTACATCCTGATCCTGCTCCGCGCGCAATTGCCGTAGTTCCGTCGCCAAACCGACGGCCAGATCCTTCTGCAGGTTCTTCAGAGATACAACTTGTTCGCGTTCGCGAGGCCCTTCCGTGGCGGAGAAAGCCGCCGCGCCAGCCACCGTCCAGATAACGAGCAACCACAAGAGTCCTGCGACAAATTATTATTAGCTCAATAAAAGATTTTCAGCGTTGAACATAATTGAAGTGTACCGAATTGCGAAAGCGACAGTCGTCCCAGAAATCTTAAATGCTTCCAAAATCTCGAGGACTTCTGCGGAAACAAGGAGTTCCCGTTATCTTCCTCGATGTCTCTAAGAGACGGCAAGGCTCTCAATCGCAATGGCAATCCTTCTATAGTTTGAATAGCCACGGACTTTGTCCATTTCGTCCGTATTACGCCGTTCTTCAAGTGAGGTGAAATCTCAGTTGATATCGTCGTCGGCGTGTCCGTAATATCTATTTTTAAACATGTTTAAAAAAACGCTTATAATTGACACACTTATATCTCTTTTAATGTAATATATAAAAAAAAATAAGACCGTGGAAGTTCCGCTTTAAAGTTCGAAGTTTCGTGTCAAACGATGAACGGTTGCACTAAAGAAAAATGTCAAGTTAAAGTCAATTTTTCTGCAAGTTCTCGATGAAAGTTACATTAGCCAAACACGCAGTGATCGATTGTTTGAAACTTGGTAACATGTACACGCTTGAATGTATATCACTGCTTCTATATAGCTACTATGTTACATGAACGCGCGTACACTTTCTTTAATGCATTTTTACTTACGCAAGCCATTATAGAATATTAATTATTGACCATCCAAAAAACATTTTACAAATCATGTAAAGATTGCAATATCTTTTCAAATCTTTTATTCTAAAATTTGTCTTCTATTATTTTTAGGTACCTATATTTTATTTTCAACCAGCGTTTATATCAATTTCAATCATTTCTACTGTATTAATTTTTCCATCAAAATTAAGTCAATTTTCAGTTTAAATAAAACTCACCGACGCCGCAAACGACATCGTCGTTGTCGTCTCCCTCGTCGTTCCTCGCACAGTGCTCCGTCATCCTCACGCGAAACTCTGTGACGTGACGGCGAGCAGCATCTTTGACGGTCGCGTCCTTGACCCACGGATGGACCAAGTTCCTGCTGGTGCGACGTCGTTGGTTTCCGGTGCCGAACGATCGCAGGGGCACGGCATGTCGCCCGCGTACGCGCGGCACGGTCAGAAGGGACGTCGGGCTGCGTGATAACGTTGCGACGTCCGGCGCGTCACTGAGGGGTGTCTCAACACCCCTGACGGCTGGCGGTCGCGGAAAAAGAGGCACGTTCATCGGCTAAGGTCAAGATGAGCCGCGGTGCTATAACCGCGATCGCTGATCTATTCGGTCGATCACACAAATCATGCATATTTCACGCAGCATCGATGAAAAGACCGCGTGTGTTCTCCTCCCTTCAATGTTATCGCGTACATCTCCACAGCGGACGCCAGGAAATTCGCCTCTCGCTGGACAATGACGCCTCTGAGCACTTGTTGAATCGATTCATTTCGCGAAGCGTTCTCCAACAATCTCTCCCAATGTAGAATTTCTTTTCACAGTCCACTGAATTCTTCGCAACTCCGCTTCGACCTAGAAAATTTATTTTATATAAAAAACGAGTTCACGTCAATACATTTATTGCGTTGATTTTTTTTTTTTTTTCCTTGCCTTCATGTTCGACGATGGCGTTGTTTATTTCATGTAGTTTATTTTCAGTAACCAGCCGATTGAGTTAAATATTAATCGTTAAGAGACAGACTTGATTCTTCGATTTCGCCGTAAGATAAAATTTTTCTCCGTTGATCAACCAACTGTAATTTTATATATTTTCTTGCAAGGACTTTTTTTGCTTATTTATAGTTCATGCATAGGGACCGGATCGATGAGCCTCACACGGAAACACACCTCATATTTCTTTAATAATAAAACTGTCTACGCTATTGAATACACATTGTATGAAATTATGATGACACTTTAACTTGATAATCAACACATGTCGTGTACTTTTATAACTTTCAAGAGCCGTAAATAATCCACGCGAGTATATCCTTTTTTCGGATAATCAATTTTTCTCAAACTGTCATGAATGTAAAAAACAGTTTATTTTCAGAGAAATATTGTTTACTGTTGACTTTTATCAAAAAGACTTGAGCAGCAACAACAAAAAACTTGCTTATTTGATCTCACGACAGAATCGCGGGAGTGACTTATCATTTAATTAATAATTCTCGAATAAGGAGCGGACTGAGAAAAGGAGACAGGATTGCAAACATCGCAGCGATTCGTCGCCTCAGAGTTTAGAGGAACTACTGGTTCCGCGGAATGAAAATTTCCTCGAATTCGGCGCGTTGCACCGCCACACAACCGGAAGCAGTGTTGCTGTATATATATATATACATCCTACTGCGAAACGTTAAAATTAGAACGCAGCCTTGATATCAATGACGACGACCCTAAGCGCCGCGCTCTGCCTTCTAACTAATTGCACACGACGTGTTGCCTTCGGCGAGACGATAATTCCGCATGATTGAACGGTGAAACTTGTACTCTCGTTCGACTATGGCGCGATAACCACATGTCGCGTTGTAACGCGTCACACAATACGCTCGTTTACAGCTGATTTCTGTAATACACGATATAATAGCGATAATTCGGAACCTTCGCTACCTCTTGCGTATTTGTCCGCCAATCTCATTCCATGTCATTTTTTTATCAGGGGGTAATGTCCTCTCTAACGTCTCTTCTCGACACGGAGATGCGTTCGTGACATTATCGATTAATTGACCTTGCTCCTTATCTACGTGTCATTGTCCTCGCGTGTGCAACGTTTTATTATTTTACAGAATGCGATTGCAGCAGAATTTTATCTTCAGAGATTGCACATTTTGTGTTATATAAATTATCTGAAAATTAATGAAAATCAATTACTATTCGTGATCAAATAAAAGGCAACGATGAAAAGGAAATATACGCAAGGATAAAATACATTTCATTAAAATTCAGTATTCTGAACAAAGAGCGTGTCATTAAAACACATTCCGATGCTAATGGGCGCGACTCCGGGCATAATCTAGGTTGAAATCTGCGCGCCATTAAAGCGATATCATTCGTTCTACACCCGCAATCACGATAATGTATCTCGGCTGCGCGTACTGAATCCTCGCGGTTCGCCAGCGCGTTTGCGCGTCATCGATCCGCGGCATTTCGCGGTCTCACCCTCGCAAAAGTGTCGTCTCGTACCAGTTCGACGGCGGATGTTCCTCGGAGAACCGCCGTTTGCGCCTATAATATGGAACATCGTTCCGCCGTTCTCGATCGACGACGAGATCGGAGAACTTTCGAGGTGCGAATGCGATCGATTCGTCGATTTCAATCTTGCTTTGCGTGCTGAACATATCGCTCCTTAAAATCGCTCCACATTTCCGCAAATTATGACAGCAACTAATTTTCGAGCATTATAGACAACACAGAATGATTCATTGCAGGTATCTTTAGCCCGGAAAAAAATCAATCCTTGATTTGCCGAAGGATTTGTAATCTGTTCCGCTAATTTAGAATAGAATTAGTTTAGTACGTCGTTATCGAAAATTGCCAAATTTTTCTCGCTTAATATTTAGTCATTTTTAAATTATTAGACCAAAAATTATATTTTAAATTGAATAATAAATTAGACTTCAAACGTATTTTTAGACGAGAAAGCGATGCGCAGCCTCGCTCGCAGATTACTAGTATGGTCGGCGTTGGTGCTGTCTCTTCTGGTGGTCGGCCGTCTGCTGTTCGGCCGTGACTTTCGTTTGCCGACGACGACGGTCGTTCTTCACGACGATGGAGACGTCTCGATTCCGATACTGGATAGCGGCCACGTGAATTTGCAGCCGGATGACAGTTCGCCAGGACCGCCCGCCTATGTGGCGGGTACGTACATGACGGGTCGGCGACCCCGTAACGAAAGTACCTGTAAATGGTACCATGGACTGCCGGATGTCCTCTCCTACTCGCCATCCAGGCTTTCTGGAACTCCCGAAATCGGCGAGAAGAGTCTCTACAGGTAAAGAATAATCATTTAAGAAAAATCATTATCTTTATCTAACTGATATCGATGCCAGAAATAATGCTCGATATCGAAAACGGAGCACGGAGAAAAAAAGGTTTGCTGGCACAGCATACTTTATGCTGTAGTAGCAAATTTTGTTAATTATATGAACAAAAATACTTGTTAAAAATATTAACCTTTTGCTAGAGATGATGTTATTTTGCCTTAAGAGAACATTAAGTTTGCTTTTGTAGAACATGTTGCGATTGAACAAGATTGTTTTCAACAAGATTGTTTTATTTTTAACAAGATTGGGGCAAATTCACGGTGGCGGCGAAATTCGATCGCTTTTACGTGCAAAGTAGTGATGACGACTTTGCTGCGACGGCAAGATTCTTTTTCTCCGTGCAGGGTCCTACCGTTCGTGTTGCACGGCGCTGACGAAGCGACGGACAAGTTGCCCCAGGTCACGTTGTCCACGCACGCCACTGCCGATCAGGTTTACGGAATCGTGGAGTTGGCCAGACGGTGGGAGGGACCGCTCAGCCTGGCGGTGTTCGCGCCGGGCCTCGACGCCGGCCTCGCTGTCGCTCAGCTTGATCGAGCTTGTCGGTGCGAGCCTGCCATGTACAAGGTCTCCTCAACTTCCTCGTCACGATCGCGAATCTCATGTGTCAAACACGTGCTACTCTCATCGACCTCCAAAGTTTCGACGGTTTCGTTGAAATGCGCAAAGCCAGGAATTCGTAACTGCAAGATACGCGTTTCTAGGACATACAAAAACATTGCAAATATTTAACATGATTTATCGTTTGCAAATTTTTTTTAAATAGATTTTTAATTGGTTTATAAAATTAGGTTTCTTTTGCTTATACATAAACATAATCCGACACAGATGCGCTGCATATAGACTAGCTCGGCTTTCACATTTTTTACAGTTGAGATACTTTTCTGGACACAGCGTAAAAGTTCACCACGTGCCGCATGTTAGGCAAAGTGAAATCGATATCGTCTGCTGTGAAGACGTACGCATGATAGACGCGGATTCCGTTATATCAATACGTCCGCTTATAATTAGCATAATCGTCATAATCCGTGAGGAATGCGAATTGAATTAAGATTATAGGGATTAGAAAACACTTGCCCGTTCTTTGCGTGTAAATAAAGACGGAGTTGTAAAAATAATTTTCAATTAAAGAACAGCCTGCTAAATCACGCAGAATAAATTTCACAGGATAATATTTAACATGTAATGACACGAAGAAAGTAGAAAATTGATAAAATACTGACTTCACGGATCAAGTATTAGATTAATGAAATTTACATCCAACCCAATTAGTCAAATGTGGAGCTCCGTTCAGAATAAAAATTTTTGAAAATTGAAGATAATTAATGTAATGTTAAGAAGAAATACCTGTAACGGTTTCTATCCAAGATAACAGTTAACTGCGCTCAATGTCTATAACGATACCATCAAATTCTCTTTTTTTTTCTCCGCATACGAATATTTTCGGAACACGCCATCATACACTTTTTCCTACATGTATTTAGCGCTCGATGCCACATTCATATGTTCCTACCCATAATAATCCGGCAATCGCAGGTTTCCGTCCATCTGGTGTTTCCGGCCGGTCGACCGCCCGTCCTGGGCGCGGTCGATTACACCCAGGGCGATTGCGTCGCTTCCGATCTCCAATGGCGACAGGCCGAGACCGAGAGACGCAAGAGGAACATGATGTATCCTATTAATGTCGCCCGAAATGTAGCGAGAGCAACGGCGAACACGTCTCGCGTGCTGGTGTCGGACATCGAGCTGCTGCCGAGCGTGCGGCTAGCTTCCGGATTTATGGAGATGGTACACCAAAGACCGCCTAAGGTCGGCATGGTCTTCGTCTTACCCGTCTTCGAAATCGAGTCCAGTGAACCGCCGCCAGCAACAAAGCGTGAGCTTCTCGCTGCCTCCCGAGCAGGTTTAGCGGTGTATTTTCATAGGTAGATTTATGGCTTTGACACCAAATACTTTGAATTAAAAATCAGTTTCTCTTTTTGTTCTTGCTTTCTCTTACAAGAATTTTGGGAATTGAATTAAAAATATCTATATTAAATATTTTATAATTAACTACTAAATTATTCTATAATCATAGATAATTCTTATCTATAAATATCTATCTATACCTATGTAACAAATAAGAAATCAAGGTCAAGGTCTTCCACAGATTTCTTTGTCCACACTGCCAGCGATTTCCCGGACTGACCAGATGGATGATTAGACCAGACCCAGGCAAAGTTCGACCACTGATCATCACTAAACGGGAGTATCCGCATCACAGATGGGAGCCGGTCTTTATCGGCACACGTGAGGATCCACTTTACACAGAGGAGATGTCCTGGGAAGGGAAGCAGGATAAGATGGCCCAGGTATAAAGCAACCCTCTTTAAATATACATTATCTTGTAACAATTTCTTGAAAAATATTTACATCAGCTGACTGTCAAAAGCTTTTGTTTAAGCTTTATTTTATTCTTACGTACTTTTTTCAGGAATTTTGCTTTATTGCTATTACTTGCAGATGTTCGAGATGTGTCTTCTAAATTATCGGCTAGTCGTGCTCGATGGTGCCTTCTTAGTGCATACGCCGGGAATTAAGCGAAAAGCCCGCCAGATCAGCTCGGCCATGCAGGAGATCTTTCGCCTGCACGAGAGGAGGAACGCGAGGATATATCAACGCGTGATAAAGCGTCTAATCAAGCAATATCCAATTAATCGTAGGTGTGCACAGTGAGACGAGGAATTCTAAAAACGAGAGAATAATTCTTCAAAGGGAGACCGCTTCGACATGCATACGGTGCCTGTATTCAACGATAGAAAAATATTTTTCGGTGACGTCGAGTTTATTAGATTTAAAATGAAGTTGCGAATTAATATATTAATCGTTTTTTCCACTGTGCGAATAAAAGTTTTTACACGAACAATTTTCACCTAAAAAACTCACCACAAACGTACCTTCATAATTCCTTTCAATTAAACATGAAATAAAAAATTTACAGATTGACATTTTTAAACTTAATATTTAAACATAAATGATGTGATTAATTTTCTTTAGATCTGGTTTTCATAGCAGCAATCATCTTTCATGGGGATTAAAGCAAACCGCATTATCCAATGAAGAAGCTAGAATTTCAACATAGTCGCATAGTCAAGGTAAATTGCTATTGGTCGCTGTTGCGTAGATCGTGAAAATTGCGCGGAAAGTCGTTTCAACGAACGCACTGGTAATCAATCAGTCTAACGATTTATATTCTAGAATATTTCGGTTTTCAGGGTGAGAAACTTCGGTCACCATTGCTTCGAGTGTAAACGGTAATTTTACAAAAATTGTAATACATGTTTCTATACGACGATGTAACGATCGATAAACGACACCGCTGGCTGCAAATACATATAAATATTGCGAAATTGAATCGATGCCGTTCGTCACGCCACTGAATCTAGCGACTCTACAGCCTCATGGTCGTTTGATGACTCACCACGGTAACCGCAAAGTTTTTCCAATTCCCGGCGAGATTGTATTCCCGGTTATCTATAACGCATGACATGACAGAACATACGTGATAGTAACATAATACATATATCTTTATTAACAATAAAGTAACATAATATCGTCGAACGTAACAATATCAAATTTCCAAATAAGGTCTATCGAAGGGAAAGCATTGCTGATTCCATACATGTGTTCACGTAAGAAAAAACAGAGCGAGAAATAGGCAGAGAACAAGAGGGAGATAGGAAGAAAGGGAATAAGAAGAGAGAGGGAAGAGGTAAAGACAGAAAGAGACGAAGAGTACTCCCACCGCAGCTGCGAGATCGGACACGATCGGATACGCTCGTCCTTGCCGGGCGCGCCTCTTGCCGGAACATCGAACATACGCACGAATGCAGCGGGGACCTCGTGCAATCATTAATTAATTAGAGGTATCTCGCGTTCCAACGGCGCCGGTTGCAGTGTTGGTGTGACCATCAAAGCGAACGTATTGGTCAGACTGCCAAATGGGCTCGTTATCTCGATCGTATGACAAATGCACCTCGTGATAGTGGTAGTGATTAAAGTAGTAATGATAGTGAGACTTTGACCAGAACAATCCACAGCGTTGACGGCACGACCGTCACCGACCGTCGCCGTCCCGCACATACGTGGGTCTCCTTATTGGCGCACACCGGAGTATCGTTTCGATAGCGCGAGCGCGCGCGCAAAGAAGCCGCTACTTTGCTACACAATACTGCACATAGTCGCAGCGTGAAAACGGCGCAGCCCGTAACACGAGCACGCGCGCATCACCGCAGTCCCGTCCGTCCGGTAGCGTGTTTCAGATTGCTCGGTAGATGCCGAAGCGGCCGCAGCGGCTCCGGGTAAGTGCGTGTGCGTCTCGCCGAGAGACGCTTCGGAGAAGTCTTCCCTTTCGACGCGCGTATATATATTTTCGCACAAGAGTGTTTTCCCGGGCCCCGACTTGACGATTAATTTTACTCGTCCAGCAAACATTGATAAATGGATAATGATATATGCTAATTATTTGTGTGACTTCTCCCTATTTCGTTCGCTTTCATCGAAATTCTTCCTCCCGCTGTGTCCATTAGGTTTCCTAGACGTTGACAGAGCAATTTATAGCAACAATTAATATTAAATATGTGCATTTTTTATTATGTGATGTAATATGTATGACTCATATACTTCGATTAATATTTAATTCACATATGATTAGATAATTTGTCCTTATCATAAGTATTTACTTGCAGGGCATAGAAAAATGAATATTTTGAGAAATATATCAGCGACCTTTTGGTCACCGGATATTTGGTTGCCTCCTAATATAACATGGGATGACATCAGTCCAAACTCAGACAATAATTATGCTAATTATCAACATTTAATATGTCCCTTGCCTATGGCATTCATTCTCTTAGGAATAAGATTTAGTTTGGAAAGGTAAGCTTGTCATATAACTTTTTATTTTGTAATTTTTGTTCTCTACTTTCAAGAATTACATCTATCAGAGAGAAAGTTTTTATAAACATCTATCAAATATATGTTCGAAAATATATATTGTAATTAACAAAAGATTTTTAATATATATTAAAAGATTCAAGTGTCTTTGAAAGAAGGTTAATATGTAATTTATCTGATCTTTTTATATAGGTATTTGTTTGCTCCTTTTGGCAGATCTCTTGGTATAAAAAATAGCAAAAATAAAAAGGCAGTATCCAATGAAATATTAGAAAAAGCATATCTCAGCAAGAAAACTAAATATAAGCAGGTGAGTGAATAAATAGAACTGTGTTCTGCGAACAAATTTTAATTGTATAATTATACATATAACGAGGGATAATCAAGTAAATTAATTATAAAATAATCAATTTCAAGAAATTATGCACATAAAAAATGTATGAATGTATTAGTATATACAAATTAAATAATATCAATTACTGACTAATTTATTTTTACATGTATCATTTGCACATTAGCATCTTGTAATGCATAATTGTGTTTTAAGATTTTGGCAATGGCTAAACAATTAGATTGGTCTGAAAGGCAAGTAGAGCGATGGTTACGACTACGTCGTTCTCAAGATAAACCATCTACACTTACGAAGTTCTGTGAAAGCTGGTTGGTTATTCTTTCAATTAACCTTAGAAATTTTATGTTATACCACGGATGTATGATAAAAATATGTTCTTTCAGTTGGAGATGTTTGTATTATACATATTCATTCGTTTATGGCCTTTACATTCTATGGGATAAACTATGGCTTTGGGATATCAAGTACTGTTACTATGGTTATCCGTATCATCCAGTTACCAGTGACGTATGGTGGTATTATATGATATCAATGGCATTTTATTGGGCATTAAGCTTTTCTCAATTTTTCGATGTAAAGAGGAAAGACTTCTGGCAAATGTTCATTCATCATATAGCCACAATATTGCTTATGTGTTTCTCGTGGGTTGGAAACCTAACAAGGATTGGTCTCTGGTCTTATTGGTACATGATTGTGCAGATATATTTATGGAGGTAAGAGGTTGAAAAAAATGTTTTGACAATATTCTATATTCCGATATATATATATATTTTTTTCTCTTAGGTGGCAAAAATGGCCAAGTATGCAAATTATCAGAAAGTGTGTGATTGTGTATTCGGCATATTTACAATACTATGGATTGTGACACGTGTGGGTATTTATCCATTTTGGATAATTTACAGGTATGTATATTTATGCTTATCACTTTCATGGCCGCTGCTACGTGGACTTTGTTAGCTAGTAGTTATCTTCTAAATAAGAGAACAATAGCAGACTTCCAAGAAATGAAAAACAAAAATACTTGCATGAAACGTGCGGCTGTAAAGTATTAAAATAACAAAACGTGTTTCAAATGCAGATGTTGATATTGATTTGAATTTCTTGTATGTTACAGCACGTCTATAGAAGCGCCTAAGATAGTGCCGATGTTCCCTGCTTACTATATCTTTAATTCTTTATTATTTTTACTACTGTTTCTTCATGCGATTTGGACTTATTTAATCATTAAGATCGCATATCGCGCTTTCAATGCTGGTCAGGTACGTGCTGCAGATTTATACAAATTGTCGCGTGCACGTTCGTTGAAACATTTTTTCAATGTTGACGAATAAATGCACATTTACATGCTAATCTTTTTTATGGAAAAAATATTACAGATGGAGGGTGATATTCGCAGTAATAGCAGCGACGAAGTATCCGACACTTCAGTCAATAATACTCCCATAAACAATACCGCAAATTACATTAACAAATCGAATTCAAAACCGAAAGCCCACTAACAAAAACAACACGCTAGACGAGTTATTTTAGTAACCGTTTCCAAGGCAGAGAGTTCATCCGGGCATTTATCCAGGTGCTAATCTCTTCCTACTATTATAATAAAATCTTCAATGCGATTTTAATCTCATAATCTAAAACTTTAACATTAACGTATCTATCTAATCTCATGAAATTTAAATATATCTTACATATATTTTTTTTTCTACTTTCCTTTCGGTGGTATTTTTCTTGAAGCAGTCCAATGCTTCGTGACAAATTTGTCAGATATTTGTGTATAGACGAGTAATATGGATAAAGGACAACGAAAACAAATGGGGACAATCCTTATTATTCGTATCATTAGTTTATACATCTTTACGCTATTTAAGAATTAATTATATACTTCTTTAACGAATTCTTAATGCTTAGTTAAGATAAGAATGGACCAAAGCTGCAAGACGTTCAGTGTCTGAACTGTATCGATTGTCTCAAAGTCTCCGATATCGTATAACTATTTTGAAGAAAAAAAAAAACATAACGTATTTATTTATTTTCATATGCTTTGTGAGCGTCAGTCAGTAATCAATAAGTGAGTCAGTCAGTAATGAATAACTCATAATAAATTTCTACTAATTAATCACATATTCTCTCTCTCTTTAAGAGATCTCTTTCAGCGTAAAGTTCAACCAAAAATATTTGTGTACTAGTGCATAATCCGCAAATTGCGATGGTATTTAGTTTAGCATATTACAATATATTCCGCGGTATTTATGTCGCTTTAGTCGCTGGAACAAGCTACTTTTTGCATTTGTCAATGAATCAATGTTATATAAAATTGTACGTTGTACTTACATGTGAGTCTGCAAATCATCGGCATTAATTATTCTTACAATATATAATACGACTGCAATCGTCCTCGTGTATCTCTAATAAAATTTTTTGCTGATTCTGAAATTTACATGCTTCGCTTTTTTTATTCCCTTCTAAAATCTGTATTTATTATCTTTCAGCGTTCTGAAATCGAGTATATTTTGAGAATACTCGTTAATCAAGCTTTAAGCATAATCAGCGCGTTATGACGTATTCATCGCCATAATTATTCCAATATCATGATTGTATTCCTTTCAGTGGTCCCGTCTCTTTATTTTTCATATGTAATTTGGAAAATATTGTGCTTTTGCCATAATAAATAAGAAAATAAAATCAACATAATAAACAGAGAAAAATGCTCATACGCTGCCTCGATATATGACTAATATTCTTTAACGCAAGCTATTAATTTTGAGTTTTTATTTTGTAATTATTGCGCTTTGTCTTTTGTTTGCTTACGTCAGCCCTGAAAGATTTCTGGTCTTTGCACGGGAATAAATATGGAGACGGCAAGAGTCGAACTGAATTGCAGGTTATGGTACTAAACTTGTCACACTCGTGACACATGTTATTTAATTCGTAATTATGTAAACATAGTCGCATGGTTTGTTCACGTTTCAACTTGTGCGTCAAACTAGGTTTTCTTCCCTCTTTTTGTTCTAAGGTACGATGCGAATCGTACAGCATGAGACGGAGAGGGGATCACCTTGATTTGTCATTCAAATTTTGGTACCGGTTCATGCTTCAGACACGCTGGTGATCTCGTTAATCGACATCTGCAGATATTTGCGTGTTACGATTGAAACATGGGTGGAAAGTGGTCCAGCTTGCATCCCTCAGAAATCGTGGTTCCAGAAATCAATGCTCTTCTCGAAAGGGATCCTTATTTAAAGCAGTACGAGCATGACATTCGCCGCAGGTATTTTTATTAACAACTATTTATTAACGTTATGTTATTTATGTAACTTATGATTTTTTACGTACGCCGCATGTAATGATTGCGTAATAACGATATAATAATGATTTTCCATTAATATATTTCTTTATTTCTAGGTATGCTTTGTTTATGGATTATGTTGATAAAATAGAAGAAGGAGATGGAGATTTGGAAAAGTTTACAAAGGCCTATGAGACCTTTGGAATTCACATCCAGGATGATAATAGTGTCATTGCGAAAGAATGGGCGCCTGGCGCACAGGAAGTGCTCTTGACTGGAGAGTTCAGTAAGAATTATATTCATACAATTATATTAATATATTTACTTGTTATATCAGAATTATCTTTTAATTAATATAATTTTTTTGTTTCATAGATAATTGGCACTGGCTTGATACGCCTTACAAAAAATTAGAGTATGGAAAATGGGAGCTGCATTTGCCTCCAAACGCAGATGGCAGCTGTCCTTTGAAACATTTATCTGAAGTGAAAATTATTATCAGAGATCACAATAATGAGTTGCAGGAAAGGCTGAGTCCTTGGGCGAATTATGTAATACAACCAAAAGATAAATCTCAGGGAACTACTTACAAACAAGTTATATGGCATCCAGAAAAAGTATTACATAATTACTACTATAAGTGTTTTTACATTTGCGAGTAAATGACAGTAAGAAAAATAATTACGTTTTTTCCAGCTATATAAGTTCCAGCATCCTAAACCCAAGAAACCAGCAAGTTTTAGAATTTACGAGTGCCATGTTGGCATTGCCACACAAGAATTGCGAGTTGGTACTTATTTGGAATTTGCCAAAGACATAATTCCAAGGATTGTCAAGCAGGGGTACAACGCGATACAATTAATGGCAATCATGGAGCATGCTTATTATGCCAGTTTTGGATATCAGGTTGCGTAATCTCAAAAATAATTATGTAAGTATGCACAAGTGTCTGTAATTTCTCATTGAAATTGTTAAGGTGACGTCCTTCTACGCGGCTTCATCTCGCTATGGAACTCCGGAAGAACTGAAGGAGTTGGTAGATGTGGCGCATCAACATGGTCTTTACGTTTTACTAGATGTGGTACATTCGCATGCTTCCAAGAACACATTGGATGGACTGAACAAGTTCGATGGCACGGATGCGTGTTTCTTCCACTCAGGTCCTAAAGGAGATCATCCGCTGTGGGACAGCAGACTGTTCAATTACTCGGAATATGAGGTACTCCGATTCCTACTATCCAATTTGCGTTGGTACATTGAAGAGTATGGTTTTGATGGATTCAGGTACTTATCTTTTATATAACGTTTCTGTATAAATTTATGACACTTTGGTACGATTAATTTTTGATTAAAATATTCGACAGATTTGATGGTGTTACATCGATGTTGTATCACTCGAGAGGCTTTGGACAAGGCTTCAGCGGCCATTACGATGAATATTACGGTTTGAATGTCGATGTGGAGGGTGTAGTGTACCTGATGCTCGCCAATCATATGTTACACAAAATATATCCCGAGATCGTAACGATTGCCGAAGATGTTAGTGGAATGCCGGCCGTTTGCAGGTACAAAAGACATGATAATTTCAATAAGTCAGGAAAATGATTAATTATACAATTTTTTAATAATCTCGTAAAATATTTTAGACCAGTTACTGAAGGCGGCGTAGGATTCGACTATCGATTAGCTATGGCTATTCCCGATAAGTGGATTAAACTGTTAAAAGAAGTGAAAGATGAAGACTGGAAAATCGGTGAGATTTGCTGGACTCTATCCAACCGCAGATGGATGGAGAAAACTGTCGCTTATTCCGAATCACACGATCAGGCTCTCGTGGGCGATAAGACAATCGCGTTCTGGCTCATGGACAAGGAGATGTACACGCATATGAGCACATTAAGTCCAAACAGTGACATAATCAATCGTGGCATTGCTCTACATAATCTAATCACGCTGATTACACATGCTCTGGGCGGCGAAGCTTATCTAAACTTTATAGGTGAATAATAACTTTGATAATCTCTTACGCACAATCGTGTTATAGAATCATCAAACATATATCGTGCACATCGAGTTTATAGCCGAGGAGAAATATTACTGACGTACTCCATGCAAATGTTTATTTTATAGGCAACGAGTTTGGCCATCCCGAATGGCTGGACTTTCCGAGACACGGAAATCAAGACAGTTATCATTATGCCAGGCGCCAATGGTGTTTAGTGGACAATGAGTTACTCAAGTACAAATATATGAACAATTGGGATCGTGCTGTAAATACGCTCGAAGAGAAATATGGATGGCTGCATGCTCATCCTGTAAGTAGCTTTATACGACTTTATCATTTTATCATTTTACCTGAACAATATTTTAGCAATGTTTGAGAAATAGAAATTTAACATTGAAGGATTAAGGAAATTTAAAGAATTAGGAATGATTTCGGATATAATTTTATAGGGCTACGTGAGTTGGAAACATGAAGATGATAAAGTGGTCGTGTTCGATCGAGCTGATCTTACATTTGTTTTTAACTTGCATCCGAACAAGTCGTTTGCCGATTATCCGGTCGGTATAAAAAATCCAGGAACGTACAAAATCGTTTTATGCAGCGATGATGAAGAATTCGGAGGACATCGTCGCGTAGACACGAGTGTGAAACATTTCTCACAACCTGAAGGGTTTTCTGCATATCAAAATAAAATGATGGTCTACATTCCATGCCGTACAGCTATAGTATATGCACGAATTGGTAATATACCAATATAATATCTTTTATATTAATAGTAATATTCATAGAGTAAGCAATATTAATGAAGCTGATTAAATTTTAGATTCATAAATACTACTTGATGGATGGAAAAGAATTGTGCAACTGCATAATGATATACTATATATAAATGAATAGATCTTATTTTTATATAATATATCTCAGGAAATAATACATTGATAATAATGTGGATTTTTATTAAAAAATAATTTAGATTTGCTTAATTAAGTAAACGCTATTACTAGTAAAGTGCATTTAGTTTGTTTTTTTTTGTTTTGAAGAATTGTCTCTTCCAAGATTTTTAACTGATAAATTTTAGATATATATATATTAAAACTTGTTAAAATATTTTCTTATAAATTTTATAGAATATGTTCTATAAATTATATAGAGATTAATATAGAGAATTAAGTTTTTTTGATTTTTATAACTAATCAATGATTATATTCAAAAGTATATGTATTTTTCAGACAGATTTTTATAATGATATATATATATATATATATATAGTATATTTGTATACCAAATATTAATTTATAAATATATGTATTTGTTTTTCGCAAAAATTTTTATAAAATTTGTTAATTTATTACCTTTTTACATATATGATACAAAAATTCTACTTAAAACTTATCATGTTGCTGAAACAATGTTTACCCTATTTGAAACGTCAGCAGCATTGAACTCTGCCTCATTTATATCATAGTCCTTCATTTTTCTTTCTAATAACCACCAATTGTCTAAAAATCCTACATCTATTATTCTTTCATAGAAAGTTAGATATCGTGGTTTCAGATAAGGACAAACAGCCTTATAAAAGGAGCAGTCCTTGTCATAATTATCTAACCAAATCAGAGACATAATACCTAAATTTAGTCTTCTTACAATTCCTTCATTGTAACATTGTTCTAACCATTTTATATGCTGCACAGAGATAGGATTGCGTATGGGTTCTCCTACTTGTATTAATTTTGTGTTATTTTCTATTAATTGTTCTCTGAACATAGTTTCACTCGGATTATGTCTATTAGAATAAAAGCAGCCTCCTAGAACTAAAATACATATAGTTATTCTTAATGCAAGTTATTTTTTAGACATATGATATATTGTAAAACTGGTTATAATATATATATGCTAATAATATATATGAAAAGTAATACATACTTGTGGTATATACTGCAGCACGTATAGGACGCTCTTTGCAATCTTTGACTACATCAATTGCAACATCCTTGTAATCTATATATAAACCCTGCCAGTATTTTGCTGCAAAGTGAAATTACGGTATTGCGTGAACGGTATATTACATATTTTTAAAGAATATTTTACATATTTCAATTTATTATGTTTAATTTACCCCATCGTTCGAGAATGGTGCCTTTAATCCTCTCAGGCATCTCATAGTTCCTAATTTTATTACCAATTTCGTTAAATTTAGATGTGAATAGCCGGAAAGCCGTCCTGAGTCTATGAGGAAGATGAACTATGTGTTGGGAATTCATGTCAAACTTTGGAGGTGTCAATTATAATAGATAATTCATAACACGAATGTCACAGTCACGAATGTTTCTCGTATATTTTTATAGGTTGTGTCTTCTAGCATATACTATGTACGTGTTTATAGATGGTACACCGAGAATATTTTTTTTTTAAATTTGTACTAATTTTGGACAACTTTAAAAGTCTCTAGACAACACGCGATAAAGACCCTATTTCTAGGGTTTCTAATATACAATTATGGCTGTGTTCCGAAACTCTGCCAGTACTGAAAATCTATAGTTTACGTAACGTATATTGTAGGTTTTCAGTACTGACAGTGAATTTCGGAACGCAGTCCATATCTATAAACAGACTAGAAATTTATGCATCGTGACTGTTAGTTAAAAATCTGAAACTACGTTTCGGTTATGTGTGTGGACTTCGCTTTTATTATTATAGAATTTTTGTTAAAGTGATAAGCATTCTCAGTTTTATTGAAATCACATATCATCCGCTTTTGATAAAAGTTATTATTAACTATAAATGTGTGACTATTGAATATTGCTATTATAGAGAAATAATAAGTAATGAATCAGTATTAGATTCTGTATATTAACAGAATTTGTACTGTAGAACTTGATATCAATTTATGCCAATATCAATTTTTCGACTCTCGCAATTTTGATATAAAAGTCACAGTCATGTCGAATGCAAAGGTTAATTCGGTATGTAGTTTTAATAAATAAAAATAACATATACTTTTGAATATATTTATTTATATTTGATGATGAACAAAACATAGTACTTATATTCTTCTGTTTTAGGAAGCAACCGAACTACAATCATTCAAGACAGTCTTGTATCATAGTGTGGTGATACTTGCCTTACCTGTGATAGCGTTCTTTACAAGCAAAGTTTTTCTTTTTGATGGTAAGAAATTGCTATACAAAGAAAAAATATTTCTATTCTATGTTTTTATTTCTATTCTTTTTTAAATTAATATCATCGAACATTTTATCTCAATTGTTTAAACTAATAAAATTTTTATTTTGTTTTTAGGTATATTGGGTCTAACTAATATTCGAAGTAATGTATACTCTGCTGGCATCGCGGTTTTAGTGTTACATGTTGCTTTAGGAGCTTTTATATACAGAGCATACTTTGACGATCGATCAAGAACACCAGCAGTTAAGAGAGATTAATTCTTTATTGTTAAGTACACCTTTGTGACCACATGCTTCTGACATAATCAAAGTCAACATATTTGTTAATATGTATTGTTAAATTAAAACTATGATATATTTTGTTTAGTTGATTGACAGATGTTTTCTGTACTTTAAGTCAAATGATCAGGTAAAAAACAGTTGCAATTTGTTAAAAATTAACAAATAACATAGATGGATTATTCACATAGAAAATAATTTTCAGTAATTTATATCCTAAGATTTCTTTGAACATGATATTTGTAATGTAAACTTTAAATGTACCATTTGATGTTAAGTAATTACATATTTCTATGTATGAATAAAAGTACAGTAAAATCACGTGGTACACTTTATATAGTTTTTGCTGATAAGGCGGGGATTATTATCATCTAAGTTATTTCATATTGCTTAATGAGAGACAAATGCAAATGTTAAGAGTATGGCAATACAGGGCTTCAATCATGGTTATGTTTTTACATTGAAAAATAAGATGGGTGCCCATATTTCTCCCTTTGTATCAGGCTTATTGTTCTAAAAATCGTTAATATTGTGTTTGACTACTAACAATCAAGTTCATAAAAAAAGAATTTTATAACAAACTGATAATTATCAATTAAGAACAATAACTATTAAGACTAATAGAAATTATTAGAAGGATGATCATGATATGGCAGAACGAAAAGAAAATAAAGTAACACATTAGAGGAAAGTTTGTTTTCAACTTCATTTTGTTGTTAACAAATTTATTTGATTTTTTTATTTAAAACAATGATAAATTAAATTAAGAATAATTAATTTCCAATTCCATTCTTGTATGCGCTAAATATTAGACAGGAACAATTGACAGTTAAAGAGTAAAATATCCAGTAAATTCAATATCTGATCCCATTATTTACAAATGAGAATTTATTTTTACATAAAAATAAGAATTCAATTGTAAATTATGGATCATTGAATTCTATTCATTGAATACGTACAAATATTAATTGTCTCCATCTGAAATACAGACAAAATCACATTGAAAATTAATATTCTTAATTTTATTTGCTATTGTTGTGCCGAATTTGCTGGGTATCAGATAATTGTCGGACATCTCCTCTAACTTATTAAAAAAAAATAGAATCTATATCTGTAAAATTATCCCAAGAATTGCAAATAGTATAATAAACTATGTATGTAAGATGTAAGAGACAACACATAAAAAACGAGATTTATATGAAATGGATTTTTCATTCGAGGGAACAAAATATTTGCAACACTCATTTTTTACATCTTGCTAATGTAATTATCCTATGTATCATTAAAATTGCGACTCTTAGTTGCTAAAAGCGACGTGGGAAGAAAGATAGGCAGGCACAAGAGAGAAATATGGACCGCCTATTGTATTTCAGGAAAATTAAATTTTCGCTATAATGTATTTTTCATGTGCTGTGAAGTAGTATAGATATAAATATGGTGATAAAGAAATATACTATGTCATTGTGTAGATGCTTACAAGTTATGTACAATGATATATCTAGCTAAAATCTCTGCTTCGAAAAGGATTTTTTGCACTAAAAACAATGATTCGAGCCCATTTGAAACCTGGCAAAAGTATTATAATAAGTTTCTATTATAACATCTCCATTGATGTTGATTCCAAAATCAAAGCAGATTTAGCAACCTCAAATAACAAAATTATTAATTTGTTTAAGTATTGTAAATGCAACAAAAAAAAATTTTGTAACAGTATTCACTACCGGCCGTGAGAAAATGTTGGAATGAATATAATTGTATTATTAAATACATAAGATCGCCAGCGATATTACCTAGTTCGCAATTAAATTTAGTCAATAGATCTAACTTAGCGCTCGCTCTATACGTTAAAAGTCGCAACATATTAATTCTTCCTATTAGCAATAGCTTTGAGAAGCCTTTTTCACATATCTATCCAGAGCAATTTATTAATTATGTATTTTGAAGCATGTTGGAAACTTAAGAAAAGATAAAGGGCTTTTCAACAGATTTAACTTCGCCTGTAATATCTATTTAATATGATGAATCAATCTATTTAATAGCATGTATACTACCATGACTGACTTCAAATTTTTGTAAAATGCTTTGTTTGAGAACAGTTTGTTAACAATTGAAATATATAATTTACGATATTGTACATATACATCATGAATGTCGACAAATTGTTTTAAAACAAAATACTTTTTACAAAGATTTGACTTCGTTCTTCAAGTTTCGATGCACTTACATTTGTAATACTATACAAATGCTACTAAATACATTATTTGAGCACATCGATAGACGTTACAGAGGAAGAAAAATAAAAAAAAAAAGAAAAAGAGGAGACGGAAAGACAATTCTGGGTGCAAATTCAAGACAGATCAGGCGCTTTTGCGACACAATAAACATAGTTTACCCAAATGAAATATTCGCTATTTCAATCATGGTAGATTTAATATTATTAAAAACACATAATTTGCAATGACCGTTACTCAACGTCCATCTTTTCCTCTTCCGCGTGTTGCTGTTGCTGATTAGGTTGACTATGATTCGCTTGGGCATTTTGATTCTGACTACTTTTCTGTTCGTCAGCAGGCTTGTCTTTTGGTTTGTCCTCCTTTGGTGGTTCTACTTTAGGCTTAGGCTTGTTAAGAATCGGCAATACCACACTGTCCAATGACTGTAAAGGGAGAAAATAAATAAATAAATAAATATATAAATAAACGACGTTTATATGATTACAATTGATTGTAGGATGATTTTTTTTTATTCTTACTTGTTTCTCGGTCCGAATTTGCGCCACTGTGACTGGTGGTTGCTGCGTACGGAGTGTACTCGCAAGTAGCATACGTTTCTCCTCTAACCACGTCCATTTGTCTTGCACCGTTTTTTCAACTGTCTTCACTTCTTCCTCAGTTAGATGAGAATATTTATCGTCTTTTCCGCTCGACGCTTTTATTTGATCCAGACCTTTCCTAGCCAGTTGTAATGCTCCTGCTAATTCTTCTAATGCATGCGATCGTCCTTCAAATTCTAATCTCCTTTCCTTTATTGGTTCTCCTTGAGACTAATAAAAAAGAAAAGCATTTTAAAAAATTCCGGTTTATATAAATAAAAAAAATTTAGAAAAGCGAGATAATTTTTAATACAGTATAAATCACGGAATCGACAATAAACATCTTGTCAAATGGCGCACCTTCAAACGCGTCAAGCGCTCGGAATAAATCTGTCGTTGACAATCTTCACCCTCCTCGTAAAGCCAATTTTCAGTGTCCTCTAATGTACGGCATAATGCTTCCTTATCCGTTTCCGCGATGAATGTAGCTAATTGATCCTCTTCAGACAGTTTAGCACGTAGGTCGTAAACATATTCTTCAAGAGCATTACGCGCATCAATTCTCTCCTTTTCCTGCCTGTCCTCGGCGATCATTTTGCCCTGTTCACGAACAATACACATGAAATTACATAATGTTTCAATGTCACACCGGCAAGCTTTTTTGCTATAATCAAAGATGGAATAATGCAACATTCGTACAAGGTAATGTAACTTACATAACTGAGATATATATATATATATATATATATACATCGAATGATATATACCTCTTTTTCCACCGCATTGTCGAGATCTTGTTGAGATAATCCGCAAACGCTAGCTTCGATAGGTAACTCGACTGTACGAATGGGGATCTTCTTCTTGCCTTTATCGTCGCCCTTATCATCTCCCTGAAACAGAGAAATTTATCAAATATTTTCTAACATATTTTCGTCAGCACTGCGTTTTGCAGGAACCTAAAATAAAAAGATCGTTTACAAGAAAGTGTATTATTCAATATTATTTTTGGTAAATTTTCAGAATTCATTCGGTATCCGCTGCGTAAAATAGCAGCTTGTTTCACTTGATTCTTCTCTTTTTCACACACAAAAATTGCCGTATCGTACCGCACACATAAGAATATACTTTTCATAGATTACAAAATTTTATTCTTACACGAACACTTACCTTATTGCAATACTTTCTTGAAACGCTTTTTTTTAAAACTTGTTTTTACAACGGTTCCGGGTAAATACTTAATGTGAAAATGTTAAATCAAAGAAACCAAGATTGTACGAGAGTAGCAAGAGAACTAAATTGAAATTCAGGTGATGACAACGATGAGGCAAGGATAATGGGGTATACACTTTCGTGTATATAGTTTTGAATCCGTATAGTGTAATCTCATGTAACAGAGACAGAATGTATGTTGAGTTTTGTAATCTACATTAAGTAACATGATAAGCGGATCATTATACATTCTCCTTTCTATACGAATAGAAAACTAATCAGCGTTGCCTGCCTTTACACGTTCGGGAACAATCATATTGCTCGGTATACTATACTTCTATTCACTGTCTCTTTTCCTTCTGCGACCCAGTATTTAGAATAGCAGAGCAAAGACAGACAGCACAGCGTGACACCACTGTTCTTGGACCCATATGCATTAAGTAAAAACGATTGTTACAGAGAATCAAATAATGGACTATTACACATTGCGATGTTACTTCATGTTACTTCGTAAACGAGCTAACTTACACTCTTTCTAGATTTTTACAATGCCGCTGGAGAGCCGAGTTTGCAGAAGAAATCGACACAGGGTTTAAAACTATGTCTAAGCCAAACATCCCGTCATGCATGCCGAAAGGTAAAGCTGATAATTATAATACAGATTTACAGCTCACAAGAGACGATAAAACTGCTTGCACTATCTACGCATAACTCAATATGCATGAGAATAAAAATGATAGGAGTTTTTCTTTAATTCTACGTATGAAAAATTATGCGCGCTATAAATTGAAAATATGGTATTGAGAGCATATCAATTTCTCCATGAATTGCTTGTACGAAGATGAGAACAAGGAATGGTGTGCGAAGATGTGTTTAGTGCACCAAAGTGACCACAAGTGTATCGCTTGTGTTATATAAGGCGATTGCAATTTGCTGTGCGCTCATCGTTACTATGAAGGCTGCGTCGGATTCTCGTGGGCGACGAAAGCGTAATGGAAAAAAAGCAGAGGATACCTAAATCATATACGGCCCTAAATATGGAGGAATGCTCACAATAATCGTCACAACAAATGCACAACGATTAAGCTTAGATTTTGGCGCACACATATGCTTCAATATTGAGCGTATGCGTATGGGTCCAAGTAGAGATAGTATGCCCCGTACCGAGCTGAACCAAGAGAGAATCCTGGAGGAGTAGGAAGGGGCAGAGCCCCTAGCACCTTTTCCACCATCATCAGCATCTGAGTTCCGTCGTGTCTTATCCATGCTCACCTAAACCACAATAAACTCACATAGTCATGCACCTGAACGCTTGGTGAACGCGTAGGATCACGCATCAACATAGAATTTCAATTCATATATTTGTTTTACATATTCCGTAATATTCTCTAATGAATCGAAATCTCGCGATATTGTCGTAACGGTATCACTATGCCATTGTCACAAGAATTCAGAATATTACAATGAAATTACAAACCTCTGGAGCTGGCGGCTCGTTCGCCTGTGCTTCCTGATCAGGCTTGTCCTTTTTATCCGCCGCTTGCGAATCCGTGTCCATGTTGTTCTGTTGCTGCTGCTGCTGCTGCTGCGCCTCCTCTTCTTCCTTTTCTTGCTGGGTAGGCTCACGTTTCTCGATAAGCGACGCCGACGCGACAGTCAAAATACCATTCAGATTCACTCTTACCTTCACTTTGACTTTTGCCGACTCACCTTCCGGCGTAGCCTTTACGTTCTTTATCGTGAACGTACCTGCAGAAAGTATAACCGGACATGAGAAATGTTTAACGAAACCGTCAATCTTTGTAAAAAGATTACTTTAGAATAATGAATTTTAAACAAATAACAAACATTCATACCGATATGTGTTTGAGGATAACACGGAGGTTGTACACCGTAACTTGCAGTAAGTGTAAATGGACTCAAACGATAAAACGTCAACATCTTCGAGAACGGCACAGGATGATTGTGCCCGAATACTTCCATTTCGCTGAAATATGGCGCAAAGATTAGAAACGCGAAACGTTTTATCTTTATTAGCGACAGCAAGATAATAAGAAATCGCATACCCTTCTTCGCCTTGAGTTGCGTCCCATGTTAGTTTCAAGGGATATGGCTGTATATCTGTGACAGAAAAGTCACGAACACGCACAGCAGGGCTGAGCATAGCGCACTGCAATGCGCAACCGCGAGATACCGCTTCGTCTTGGTTAAGAGTCGTCGATATCGGTCGACCAAAGACTTCCTCTATTAAACGTTTAATAGCAGGCACACGGCTCGATCCTCCCGTTATCTCGACTGAATGAATCTCCTCGAGCTTTAATTCTGATAAATTACACATTTTCTCGTTAGTTCAAGAATAATGTAGGTAGGAATATGTACATCGTTCACAAGGTAGATTTACTATTCGCGGACTTACTGGAATCAATTAAGCATTGTCTAAGGACTTTCTCAACACGTTCAAACAAGTGGGCGCACATTGCTTCCATGTCGCTACGCTTCATATCGCCGTGCACATCCTTCTCATCCATAAAGCACTCGATATTGAGGGGGAGGGTGGTCGAGTTAGCCGACATTTGTTTCTTCAATTTCTCGACTTCTGCTGACAATCTTAAGTACGCTCTCGGATTAGTGTGTACATCGATGTTGTACCGTGTTTTGAAGTCGTTGCAGAAGTGTTCTGTCAAAATCAAGTCGATGTCTCTTCCACCCAATTGACTATCAGCAGCACTCGCCAACATCTGTAATGAAATAAGAATAATTGAGCGATTCCTTCTTCGAACCTATGAATAATGTGACAATTTTTATTTCTGTAACAACGATACTGACCTTAAGTTTGCCTTTATGAAAGGCACAAACGCTCACTTGCAAGCTGGCGTTGCCGCAATCCACGAAAACAATGTTTCGGGGAGGCCCATCTGCCGCTGGCAAATCCTGTTTATAAATACCATAACAAAGAGCGGTAGCAGTAGGTTCATTAAATAGTCTTAGAACATTAAGGCCTGCGATCCTAGCAGCATCAAGCAGAGCTTGACGTTCAGCCTGAGTATAGTACGAAGGAACAGAAATGACACAATCGTTAACAGCAGTTTGTAGCGCTGTTTCAGAAATGTCTTTCAGTTTTGTGAAGAGCATAGCGGTGATTTGTTCCGGTGTAAAAATGTGCTCTTCCTCCAAATATTGTACCTAAAAAGAAGATAATAACATTTAAATAACTTTTAATATTGTTAGTTTAACATTATTCAATTCCACTTGATTTAAGCAAGCAACATTAATGAATCATCCTAAAAAGATATAAATAAGATATGAGTCTCCAGAAATGAGGGACAGTAAATTCTGGCAAACTGCCTAAATTACTTTTGATTCTTGATTATTGAATGATGCAAAAGGAATTACAGATTTTTAAATAACAACTAAACAAATTGCTGTTATCCAAAAGACTTTCTTTCTTATATAAATGAATCTTGTTGATAAAAACATGAATTATAGCTTTATAATAAAGAATTTTATCTTTTATTACAATTTATGAAGCTGTGATTTCCAATGTTTTTATAAGCAGCATAAAAATAATAATAGAAATGTATAAAATTACTTCTCTTTTTAATTGATGTAATACTTACATGTATATTCATGCTTCCATTAGCCTGTGGAGTTACTTTATACGGAAGATACCGCAGCTCGTTTTGCACTTGTGGATCATTGTATTTTCTGCCAAGGAGTCGCTTAAAGCCATGAATGGTATTTTTTAGATTGGTCACCATTTGATTCTTGGCAGCCACTCCGAGTATTCGGTTTTTTCCACTGAATGCCACACATGATCTATGAACCATAATATGTGTCAATGCAAATTACTCATTATTTTAATGATATTCAAGTGTTCATAATTCTCTGCATATACTAACATTACTCAATTTACTTGATTATTTGCATTTTATATTTATTTGACGTAGAGTAGTAAACAATATTAAAATCATAAATATATGTGGTTTTAGAAAAATCTAAACTTTCTTAACCCAGCCTATGTTTAGAGAGATAAAGGCCACATGGCCAAGTGCTTATCTTATTCATGGTGCAAGCCACTTTATCATAATTGCAATTTTTTACATAAAAATCAAAAATACATAAGATACCAAAAAATAAAACTGTCATTGCTAATAATAATTGTTTTATGCAAATTAGAATTGATTGCACAATATATATATATAATTAAATATTAAATAAAAATTTCAATTTTTATTGAAATCCATGTAATATACATTGCAGCATATAAATATTATAAATAAAAATAATGTGATATTTGCAGTAATTAAAAATTGTTCAAATAATTCCCACAAATAATTTTTTTATGCAAATATGCGAAATTTAGAACAACTGATCGCTAACGAAAGAATTATGTTGGTCGGCTACAGAGGATAAATATAAGTGCACTGAAAACTCCAAAAGGAAAGCAAAGAAACGGGCTAAAATGCGCGCAAGCGGAGCGGGACTTTTTGGGATACTCTGAAAACGCGCAACACGCGTGTGACAGCATAGTATTGGTAATCAGATGCCTGTAAATGGTAACGCGACCGATGTTCTCGAAAATACGATAAACAGTACGCGCAAATATCTACTACTTTCTCTCGTTACTTCTCATTAAAATATTTCATCAATATTTCATCAATATTTCATTCGAATTTATTTTTAGTAAAAAAAATGTTAAATTTTTATAATTTTTGAACTTTCTCTTTTCAGAAATTTTAACATTTCTTGGTAGACAAAGAAAGACAGATACTTTCTTGCGATAATCACAAGTCAATATATGTGGTTTTCTCGTATTTATAGCACGAAAAATCGAAATTCTCGAAATTTCCACGCTGTCTAATGTCTCAAGGTAAATAATATTGATAATCGGAATTAACAGCAACGAGCGGACGTAAGTCGATTAGCGGCGATCGATTTGTGTTCTTCTAGATTATTCTTCGAGATGCAGACGGAAAGACAAGAAAAAAATTAATTGAACTCAGATCATTGATGATTCACGCAGGTGCGATCGGGCCAAAATCGCGGCGCGAAGGCCGCGACGGGAGACCGGCGAGCCGATACCGGTATCCTTGGCGGATACGAGTGTGAATATCGGCGCGGAGAAATATCGCACTAACTCACGGTGTGTTACGAAGACTGTAGTCGTTCGCTATGGTCTCAATGCCGCCGGCGCGAGCCACGGCCACATAACAGCTCTCGTTACCGAAGTCGATTCCGATCACGGACATCGCAGCCATGGTTGTTGGTGTTGGGCCGAATCACACTTCCTCTCCGATACAACCGAACGGACTCGGGTGGTTCACGTTGCACGTCGATGTACTCGCACGTCTTCAATCCCGCGACCTCCGCAGGATCCTCCGCGGTACCAGAACACCAATTAACACGCGATTTAATCACCACGACTCGCGGATCACGAGTGTGCTCCAATATACGCTCACGCGCGATGCTCACGAAGAAAATGTTTTCCACACTGCACGCGAACACTGCCTTCTGCTAAGTTCGCTTCAAAACTGACCAATCATGGCAGCATTGGGACATGAGGCGATTGGCGCGCCACCGGCCTGGAATATTCTAGAAATCCGCGAGATTGGTCAGTTCCTGTTGGTTCCGCAGAATCGCCAACTGCTATATTTTCTCGAAAAAAATCGAACTCCGCTGCTGCGTTCACACCGGAGGTCGATGCAATGGCGAGCAGCTTGTAATTCAACAATCAGATAAAATTTTTCAAATGGTAAAGTCGTAAACTTGATTGCTCGCAATAAGTGCGATTACTAGAATTAGAACGTAAAATCTTTAATATCGCACAATATGGCAAATTGTTATTTTTATCTTGATTTATAACTATAAATCATATCTTTCAAAATCACTAATAGAACAAGCGTAAACAGTAACATTTTAATTTTTTAAATTGTAAAAATAAATATTTATTATTTTTTATTAATTTAATTATTGAAGGATATAGCGTTTATTAGAAATGAGAGGCTAATATTATAATTTTGATTTAGATATGTAAAAAAACAATTGCGTATCGTACAATTTTCCATATCTCTATAACATTATAAATTAAAAAATTACTAAATACCGCTTTTAATTTATATTTTGTTTTGCATTTCAATGCTACTGCATTGGAGACGATGATTTATGTCTGTTATTTGTAAGAAAATTGGTTTAATTAGATAATTAGCAATTGCATCATTGAAAGCCACGAGACTTTTCTTACGAAATATTCGTTCGTGCTTTCAGAAAATACCTGTGGTCAATGCGAGTTTTACTCAGAGTATCTACTACTAATATGTGTTGTTATAGTCTGTCCTGCAACATATATATCTGTCTGTCTATAAACATTATTGATTCATTCAGTTGTGTCAGTGCGAATCATGTAAATAATAAACCGACGTAAAAAGCAGCGTGTAGTTATAGCAACTATCTGTAATCTTTGAAATCGATTTGCGTTGAAACTTCTAGATACTTGGTGTTTCCACATGTTTCTACACGTTTCTAAACAATCGGCACGTGGTGGAAAATCTAGCGAAAAATCGACAAATTAAAATGTCACGATTATGCATCTTGAGATTATGTTCCCTGATGAAAAATGTCAAAACACCAGAGACGCTGTTGAGCCAATTGCATTTTAAAAACAGTAATCGTATCAACGAGGCATTGTGTCGGAGCTGTCAAAGAGGTTATGCCCAATATTCTTTGCAACTAGCATCTAGGAGTTATCCATTGTACAAATTAGTGGATGGAATATTTTTAAATTACCCCTCAATACTTTTGACAACGAGAGAAAAATATGGAAAATATAGCAATAAGTCCAACAAAAAACATAGTCATTTTGGAACGCTTTTGGGCTTCAGTCTTGGACTTATCGTGGCTTTTTGTGATGCTTCATATTTTGCAGGTACATGTTTTGATTATGTAAAAATATATATGAAATTATTTCTACAAGAATAAATGGAGACACTTACAATATTTTTTTGTAGATAAAAGATTTTTCCGTGCTGCTCAATATGGCAATATTTCGGAACTGAAAAGGGTAAGTTTTCTGATGCTGCATTGAAACAATATTACAATAGTAAAAAAAATTATTTATTTTAACTTCTAGATTATTTTTTCACATGCTAAATAATATTTTAAGATTATTCTAATAACATAAAACTATATGATAATGTTAATGTATTTCAGGCTTTAGAAGATGGTATTGATGTAAATATCAGACATCCACTGGGATGGACAGCATTGCATACTGCTGCCATAAATAATAAAGCAGAAATTATTAAAGTTCTTTTGGACAATGGTGCTGATATAAATGCAGGAGACAACTTTGTTAATGTATATAGAACTGCTATGGAAAAGAGTTTACATTCTTTAGATGGTATTTTATTTATATACCTTACAAAGAGATAGATATTATTATCAGATAATAAGCATGAAATACAATGTTTTATTAGTATTAAAGCTTAAGATGTATGATTCTTTTTATATAAAATTTATAAGCGATTAATTTTGATTTAAATATTTCAGTCCTTATGAGAAGAGAAGAAGAATTTTCTGATCGACTAAATAATCGAGCTACTTTTCAAGGTTTTACAGCATTACACTATGCTGTGTTAGCTGATTCAGAGATATGCGTAAAAACATTATTAGATGAAGGAGCGAATCCAACTATAGAAAATGAAGCAGGACATCGAGCGGTTGAATATGCTAAAGAAGGTGTAGTCAAGGAAATGCTCATCAAGCATGCTATTAAATATGATGAAATAATAAAAGAAAAGGTATATACTAAAATTACTTTTTTTCTTATTCGCACATTACATATCAATGAAAATATTTAATTAAGGAAGCAGAAGAACGTCGCAGATTTCCATTGGAACAACGTTTAAAGCAAAATATCGTAGGACAAGAGGGACCGATTTCTATTGTTGCTTCTAGTAAGATAATTTTATTTTTATTAAGATATAATCTTGCACAAAGAATTTAATTATACAAATTATTTATAATATTATTAGCTATTAGAAGAAAGGAAAATGGTTGGATAGATGAAGAACATCCACTAGTATTTCTCTTCTTGGGTTCATCAGGCATTGGCAAAACAGAATTAGCTAAACAACTAGCCGCTTATATTCACAAGAATAAAACTGACAGTTTTATTCGATTAGATATGTCTGAATATCAGGAGAAACATGAAGTTGCAAAATTAATCGGAGCGCCTCCAGGGTACACATTTTATTTATAATTATTAACTTTTAATGAATCATATTTTATTTAGAATTTAATAGTTTTATGTGTTATTTAGATATGTGGGACATGATGACGGTGGGCAACTGACAAAACTGTTAAAAAAATGTCCTACTGCTGTTGTACTATTTGATGAAGTTGATAAAGCTCACCCTGATGTATTAACTGTTTTGCTACAGCTTTTCGACGAGGTATTTATATATTTATTTACATTTTTCTGTCTATACAGTTCTTAAATAATTTAATAATTATTGTATTTTTCAGGGAAGATTGACTGATGGTAAAGGAAAAACAATTGAATGCAAAAAAGCAATTTTTGTAATGACATCAAATTTAGGAAGTGAGGAGATTGCAGAACACGCAATGCATCTAAGAGCAGAAGCTGAGAGGTTGTTAAATCATAGATTGGACAATGCTTCTAATGAAGATCAGGAGCCAGAACGCATTGAAATATCTCGTAACTTTAAGGATCAAGTGGTATGTAAAAGATAAAACTAAAAAGATAATTTGATATAGCTGCATAACAAAATTATGTTGCAGGTACGTCCGATACTGAAGGCTCATTTTCGGAGAGATGAGTTTTTAGGGAGGATAAACGAAATAGTATATTTTTTACCATTTTCTCGAGCAGAATTAATAAAATTGGTTGCCCGAGAATTGGATGCGTGGGCTGTACGTGCAAAAGAAAAACATATGATTGAATTGAAGTGGGACAGAGAAGTTCTATCAATATTAGCTGATGGATACGATGTCCATTACGGTGCACGTTCTATCAAGTATGAAGTGGAAAGACGTGTTGTTAATCAATTAGCAGCAGCTCACGAACGGGGCCAACTTAGTGAGTAGCAATTTCTCTCTATATACAATCTATTTCAATCATTGCACAATTTTTTTCTAATATAATTTTTTTTAGGTAAAGGATGTTGCGTATTGTTAAAAGCAAAGTGGCATGAAAATGGTGCAAGCATAACTCTTTCCGTTCGGCAAAAAGGTTCAAAAAATTTTGTCGATGTTGTAGAAACAGATAAGTTTACGAAAAATGTTAATTCAAAATTTTGATAATGGATTCTCTATGTATAGATACAATTTAGTTAGATTTAATAATTGGTGATGTTTTAACTTAGAAAAAAAATAAAAAGAATGTAATTTATACATGAATTAAATATATTAAATTTAAATATATAGGACATAATTTAAATTTATTATACAATCATGTTGCCTTTATCTGAAAGAAGAGTAAAAATACGAAAATATGTTATCGTATGCAACAAATATAATGCTTCAAAAGAGGTTATATTTAGATATTATTTTTGCTAAATGTTATTTAGATAATCTTTCATTGATAATTAGATTAATGTAAATTATCAAGTTGTTTATGCGATAAACAATAATAGATAAATATTATAATAGATAAATATTTTAATACCTTATACTAAATTATTGAATAAAAAATTATTGTTAGGAAAATGCTATAATATATTTAAGCAAATTGTACAATTAATAAACCTTTATCAATGAAAAAATACACACGAAAAGTTATTTTAAAAGTTTGCGCCAATTTTAATCGCGTCCTTCAATGTTTCAAACAGATGGCAGTATACGATTAAAAACAACATGGCAGTATTAGCCGGTAAAAACAGTGAAAAGGATAAGAAGCAAAGAACGAAAGACTGAAAAAGCCACTCATTATTTATGAAATAATAGAAGATTTGAAATTCCATTGAAATCTCACCTATTTTGTGGCATCAGTAATTATTTTATCTCATTTTGTAATTTTTCGCATCCTGTCAAAAACGTTTATATAAACATAAAAATGAACAAAGAAAACATATTACATGTGGAAATATGTCAACATGCTAACAGGTATTATTTATTTTACTCAAAGCTTATGCAGTTAGTTTCACTATTCTATGAACCATTTATATTATTTGATTATCAATAAACAATTATTTATAATTTATCTTAATCTTTGATATTTCTATGAGAATTTAATTAAGAAAATTTATTTTAATTTATTTTTTTTATAAATTTTTCTTGAAACAAATATTGAATGGATATAAATCTGTTTGTCGATGTTTATGATATAATTTTAATAATAATTTTCATACTCAACTGTAATGTAATGAAATAAAACCTTGTAATCTAATTAAAGAAGTTTTTGTAACAATTTATCTTTTATCTCTAGATCTCTCTCTCTCTCTTATAATATTTCCTGATTCAGTAAAATTAAATTTACATTTATAATTTTAGCACTTTGTCGAAAGAAACCATTGAAAATATAGTACAAGCAAAGCTTAAGTCAATGGAAGAGATATCTCTGGATATTGTTTTACGTGGTGAAGATTTAGTTAAAAACACAATAAAAGATGAAATGGAAATAGAAAATCACTCTATAGAAGATAACTTTAAGTCAGATGAAATTATAAAACATCATGTTGAATCTGTTGCATGCTCTTCTGACCATTTAGAGGTATATTTTTATATTAATTTATTATAGAAAAAAATTTTAATATTTTTTAAAAAGTGTGTATATATATAAATATAATTATTCTAGAAAGGAACAGTGAAAGTTGAAGGACTCATCTTCAAGTATTATATCTACAGACTGGTATACGAAGATGGTGCCACAGAAACAATGCATTCTGATTCTGATGAATTGCCAGTTATGTCTCACTGGATGTTACCTGCAAAGGAATTTCACTATATGTGGGAAAATCTGTATTATGATTGCAACATAAAAAACAACGTTAGTAAATTTATATACGTAATAGAAATAAAAACATTCCCTGTTCAATTTGTTAAAGCTACTTGAGGTACACTTTATGCAAAGATTTTAATTTCTCTTTTTTTATTTTTTTAGTTATTGCGTTTTGTGGAAACAACAATGTTATTTTCCGATTTGACTGTTAACTCTAATATTATAAGCTGGAATAAAGTAGTGTTACTGCATGGTCCTCCAGGTACAGGCAAAACCAGTATGTGCAAAGCTCTAGCTCAAAAAGCTACCATTCGTTTAGAAAAGCGCTTCCAGTATGGAGAATTCATAGAGATTAATAGTCACAGTCTATTTTCAAAATGGTTTTCTGAGGTAAGTCTTTAACTATTATCTATTTCCATCTTGCTTCAGAGATACAATAAATTCTAAGTTTTCCAAAATAAAAAATTAAGAAAGAATTCAGAATCTAATCTATTATATTAATTAACAACATTTAAAATTAAATAACAAGATTCACATAATGAATATTTGTATCACATTAACAAATTTCAGTATATTAGATTTATGTATTTTTGATATTTTAAGGATATAACAACAATTAAAAAATTTTTCTGTATTTGATGATAGATTTAAGATTATTTTCCTTTATTTTTTACTCATTTTTAATCTATGTATTTTGTTACAGAGTGGGAAGCTTGTTATGAAGCTATTTGATGAAATAAAAACTATGGTCCAAGATGAAAAGACATTGGTATGCATTTTGATTGACGAGATAGAATCATTAGCACACGCACGTAAATTATGCAGCAATGGGACTGAACCATCTGATTCCATACGCGTTGTAAATGCGCTTCTTACGCAATTGGATCAAATCAAGCGATATCCGAATGTTTTAATCCTCACAACGAGCAACATGACACAAGCTATAGATCTGGCATTTGTCGATCGAGCAGACATAAAACAGTATCTTGGATATCCATCCGAAAGCGCTATTTATAGCATTTACCATTCGTGTCTGAGGGAGTTAATGAGGGTATGTAGATTCCTTCTAGTTCTCTGTAAGATACAAGTGATTAATATAGAAATATTAGTGATAGCATTAATAAAACTAACAATTTTGTATATTATACGTTTCAGGTTGGAATTTTGGAGGATGAAAAAATATACGACATATCGGATCTAAAACGTCAAAAACTATTCGGATACACGGAAGATTCTGAGAACAGTGTAAAACTATTGCAACTTAGTCGCGAGAGCGAAGGCTTGAGTGGACGTATCTTAAGAAAGATACCATTTTTAGCGCACGCTCTTTATTTATCCGCAGAGAAGTTTACGATGGTCGAATTTCTAGAGGCTATGCATTCAGCTATATCGAAACAAAATCAGCAAGATGTCGAGCTTCGTGAAGAAAAAGGTAATGATAATTCCTTGTATTCCATTTATTAAAATATTTTTTTTATTATGTATGCTATTTTTTATAAGAATATATGTGTCACGCGCATTATATAACAATATGTTTGCCGTAATTTATTTACTTTTGTAAATTAAAACAACAATTATTGCATGCTTACATATTTGTTATTTATATATCATATAAAATTTCGGTCCTATATATATATATAAATCTAAAATTGATCTTACAACTTTGGAAACAAATGGCTCGTTTGAGCGACGTAAATCTTGTTGTTATATTTTATCTTAAGTCTAACAATAAGTATCAAAATACGAAACTATGTAACAGTTTCTGAGGTCCAGTTTTGCACCGATTCCGCCTCCTCGTCGCGCAATCGCCATTAAAATCACTGAGATGCGACCGCTATTAAAGTCACGCTTCGTTCCGCACCGGCGATGCGGACTATACTTTGCGCGGTACGCTAGTTCTTCATACAATATTTATCACGACGTACTTTTATTTCGAATGGACTACAGTTACCAGTGCGGGTCTTATCTACTGTACAGCGAAACACAACAGACAACGTGATAATAAATAACTTAAAAATTCAGCAAAGGTCGTTAATTGCTCAACGATACACGATAACAGTCGACAGTCTCTCAGGAATTCTTACTTTATGTCAGATTACAACATTCGATACAAAATATATATTTGTATCGCGCAATTAAAATAGATCTCTAATTTAAAATAGATCTCTAATTTTCTATAATCTACATTAAACTAAGAAATATCCTTGTTAAAACAGAGACTGATGAAAAGGCGTGAGTATAGTAAAAGTAAGATCCGACGATGAAGTTTATGATAGTCGATAGCTGGGAAAAAGATAAAGACCCATATTTTACACAATGGTAGGCGGCTGCAGAACCGCGGGCGCTCTTCTGACCTTCAGCGCTTCCGGGCTCATGGCACGCGTCTGCTTCGCGATGTGATTGTAATCATACACGTTCTGGCTGCAATTGTCCAAGTTGGACTTCTTCGCGTGAGACGAATTAATAGATTTCTGTCGATCCATCGACACACCGTTGCCGTAGAGCGCGTCGGCCGCGATGCTGCCTTCCTCCTCCATTTTCTGACGATATCGTTGGCGTCGGATTCTTAGCAGTCCGTACACGCAGGCGGAGATCGCCACCAACAGGAATAATAGACCGACCAATATGGCGGCGAATATTACGCGGAACTCCGTGGGATCTCGCACTGTCAGTCTGATGATCGTCGAGTCCCGACCCTTCTCGCTCTCCACCACGAAAGTGTACATCCGGGCGTCCTCCTTTTGCAGATTCTTGATCTTCAGCTGGGCCCAGTAGCAATTCTTGTTCACCATCTTGTCCTCGATGATGGGCTCCAACGGCAGAGCCTCGTACTTTGGAGGAATGCTCTCTCCTGTTAAAAGTTTAAAAGGACAAATGAAACTAAAACGCAAAGTCGATGCGGCTACTGAGTTGATTTGGATCCCTATCTTAGAAAGTGAAATCGAGGTCAAATCTGGATTTTGCAATATGCAGCATTAATTATGTTTGGACTGAGATGTTTTTTCGTACCAGCTTGTATGTGAGAACTGCCCCATTGCCAAGCGACCAGTTTTGGCGGTGGCTGCGAACATACTCGGGATTTAAGCCTGTACGCACTCTCACCCGCCCATCCGATTGACTCGTTCCGGTCACCGAACAACGATCTAGCTTGTATCTCCGGCGGTCCGGTCACGTACAGCACGTAGTGAACGTCGCTGATGGTCTCCCGTTTGGCGCCGTTGATCATGTTGTACGCGATGCAACGGTATTCACCTTCATCGGACCATATTATGCTCTCGAGACGTAGGCGTCGGCCGCCGCTCTTGTACTCACGGTTCTCTCTCGAGTTACCGCGAAGATGCACCCACTTGTATTGAGCAGGCGGATTAGCGTCGTATTCGGGGCATTCGAAGGGCTCCGCCGCAGAGTTCAGATGCACCGTTTCCTTCACGTCCATGGTGATGTTATTTTCATTCTTGACTTTTGGTTCATCTGCGGAAAAGTATGAGAAATGTGAGATGGATTTTTATTGTAAGAACGCGGCATAAATTTGACTTGCAAATACTTGGAATTTTCTTACTTTCATTTTTTTCTACGCAAGAGAACGTAGCGTTAAAGAGCATTGTAACTTTCACAATAATGTAATATGCAATAATGATTGTGCATAATAACTGAATATGTAACTGTATGTGATTTTACGAAGGAAGAGAGATACAGGCGCAAGAAACGTGCGTTATCGCGAGAGTATTGTTATTTCGCGAGGAAAGTCATTATGTGTACACAGTTTGGGAAGAAGGAAGACTGAAGAGAGGAAATAGCGAATATCGAGCAAAGTATAATCCTACGAACATTGAACGTCCAGCCTGTAACTCGCGAGCGCGCTTTCACCGATGGAGTTCTGCGCTCTGCATGAGTATAGACCGGCGTTGTGCTTCTGGATCGGTTCGAAACGCAATTCTTGGCTTAATATGTTGCCGTTCAGATGCATCGCCGTTCTGCTTTGCTTCATCGAGTCGTTGAGTTGCACAGAGTCTTTGTACCATGTAATATTCGGAACTGGATTACTGTCCGCCAGACACTTCAGACTCAAGAAGCTCGCCGAATGCTCTGGCACGGCTGTACGCGGGTTCATCTCAAGTTGCACTTCCGGCTTGTCTGAAAGAAAATCATAAAACGCCGCTGTTACACATGTGCTGTTCGAATTGCCTTTTCTTAATGTGGGCTTGGGATAATTTAGAAACAAATTCTTTGAATAAGTAGCAGCTGTTCGAAGCTAAAAGCAGAGATTTTTTTAAAGCATTTTTAGAATACATCATGCATAAAAAATAATTTTTTATTAATTTTAAAATATTTCTGATAATTATTTGATGTATAAAGATATTGATAAAATTTATACTAAAATGATAAATAAGTGAGATAAATTTTTGTTTACTTATTCTACAACAATGAGCATAGATCGTATATTGCACATACAATAAATGTCTATTCGAGTTTCTGTGATGGCCGGTATTGCGCTCGTTGGATGCTCACTCACACATCGGAGCGGTAGACCGTGATATTCTTTGCGACCAAACACTTGTAGACGACTATGAGCCGCCCAGGTTTTCTTGTTGTCTACCTCCGTCGCGTTGTTCTGCTCTGTTTGAGGTTTCAGCTCGGTCTTCCCTATGAACCTGTTCGACAAATTCACCAGCATTATAAACATCGCAAAATATAACATTGAATCTCTGAGCGTATTTCAGTGGAATTTGTGATGTAAAAATTAGTTGCAGAAATAATTAAATGTTGAAAAGATCGCGACAAATGGGTGGAAAAAAGAATTAATTTTAAATTCTTTAAAAGAATTAATAACCGTGAAGAGCAATCGTTCATTTTGGACCATCTTTCTTGATACATCTTCCTAATTTTTCATTCTTAGAAAGAATTTCGGAACGCCTCTGGATCCATTTAATGAGCTCCGTCGTTCATCTATCAAACTCAATGCTGCGTTACAAAAAATGATGCGCGAACGGAAGTTTGATGCTCGTAATTAGCGGGTGACATGGTTCCGTGCAATATCGTTTCCGCGAGTGCGGTTCGCATAATCCATCAATTTCCACTAAGCGGACCGGCCTTCTTCCCGGAAAAAAAGGAGAACGCCGCCGAAGGTCCGTACCTTTTTCTAGCGTGATTCACAGGCGTAGCGGCGACGGGACTACGCTCGCGGCCAGTTTCTCCGTTTCTATGGCTATAATCTACATAATTACACTCGGTGAGGCCGTGTCCGCAATATGAAGAAAAAGAAAGGGCAGGGCAGGGATCGTTAAACCGCGCGGCTATTATTGGTCATAAAAGAATGCGCGCTCGATATTGTTTCAGACAAATCCCACCGGGTAAAATTCTTCATTAGGATCGTGGACCCTAAATAAATGCGTGGGAACGCGATCGTTACCGAACATTTCTCTTTAAATGATTGTTTATTGTTATGTTTTTTATAAAATTGTAATTGTAAAAAAAGTTGCAATGAAAAAAATGAATGAACTATTTCAAAGTTAAAAAAAAGTTAAAAAAAAAAACATACAAAGAATACTTGAACAAACTGATTAGAACGACTTTGAAATGTTTGTATTGTCTGAGAAGTTACACTCGAGACGGTGTAACAGTGAATGTCGTGTCGGAAACTTAGTGTTTGCAACGTTTCTCACAAAGGACCTATTCATTGATGCGCCCCTCTCGAAGGAAGCACATATGCCGTCGTTCAGGGCTTAAATTACACCCACTGGTTCTTCTCTGGGAAGCGAGTGACGGCTCGTCCAAAAGAAGCGCGTGCCATCCGCAAAACAGATGTTTTATGTCGTAAGAATATAGATAAGGCGCGGCTAAATTCAGCGGACCGTAAACCAAAACGACGATCTCGCAGCCCGCGCACTGCCCTTTCCTGCATAAACATAACGTCACGGCTTCTTGCACCAGACCCACCGGCTCTCTCGGATCAGCGCACCGTGGTGCGTACGAACCGCCGATGCTCATGTTTGAAAAGGATCGCATTTTCTGCGAAGTAAGAAAACAAGTGTAAAGGCATGTAACTCAGGAATGTGTATAAAACTCACGGCGCCGCTACGGCAAAGCGCAATTCGAAAGCGATATCTCAGATTTCCTAGCGGCCAATTTCACGAGAGCGACCGCAATGAGGCTGTTTCGATATTGCATTAGGTTGGTAAATACTCGAGAATCGCTCCGATCGCAGAGGGATATTTATTCTCTCGAAAAATTTATGAAGAAAAATATCGTTTTCCCAGGATGCTATTTGGGAAGGATAAATATTTCTCTTTTCCTTTTTTATGCATAAAGTTTGAGAATTTAGAAATATATTTCTTCAAACAAAAAATTATAAATGTAAAAATAGAAATGACCAATTTTGTAAGATGGAATCGTTATATTAATTATAGCTACTTTGTTTAAATATGCTTATTTGCTTATAAAATGTGCATTTGCTTACCAAGAATCTTTCAGGTAGAAAGGTAGAAGATCTTATAAGTAGAAAAAGGCCTTTGTATGAAATCGTAGCTAATCCTGTCGATTTTAGGAATGGAACATGGGGTCAACATTCCGGTTTAAGTATGTACGAAAGGAAAAAATGTTACTTAATCGGTTAAGGTAACTTTAGGTAAAAGGTTCAAAGCTCGGAGATAAATGGATCCATTTATAATTATCTATATTGTGAAGCCCTTTCTACATTTTTTCCCTATCATTCTTTTTTATTAACATTATGCTAGAGTACTTGTTTCAAAAATATTTTTGATGAATAACAAAAATATATTTTAAATTTCTAAATTCTCAAACATATGATTTTGATTATTGATATTTTTTGGAAGTTTTTTTCTGAACTATACAATAATGCATCACATTTTATTAGAATTAAAATGAGATTTCAGCAAAATTATTAGAAAAAATACTTTTCTTAATTTTAAAAATAAATATTAGAATTTTAGAATGAAAACTAAATATTATTTATCTTTTTCCAATTCTTGAATTATTTTCTTTCTTACATTTTTTACTGTAGCTTTGTTAGTACAATTTTACTATAATAACAACCTAGTTCGTTTAGGGTACTGTGTCAACTTACCACTTGATGAAGGCGGGTGGGTTTCCGTATTTCGACACGCAGGAAACCGTCATATTTTTTCCCTCCTCTATCGTTAGACTGGGTCCCACCTCGTGCCCTTGGAGTCCATATTCCAAGCGAGGTTCTTTCGGTTTTACTGTAACACGCATTAGGATGCATTTAGATAAAAAGATAGAGGACAAAAATATATTATCATGCCTGGGTCATCCTCCGTTCCGCTTCCATTTTTGTGGTACAGATTTTACGACCGTGATCTTATCGTTTATCGCCGGTGAGTAATCATTAATAGCCGATTGAGCCACTGAGAGAGCTCTCGACCAAATTTCCATTAACACGGATATTGCAAAATTGCAGGAAAGTAGACCATAACGGCCGTTCCGTACGTCTTCTTGCATCACTTGAGGTCAATGTTCGCGGAATATTAACGATTCTTCCGAAACGCACATTACGCTTTAACGAGGCTTTCAAAATTGCATTATGTATAAATTATAATATATATGAATTACATATATTAAAATATACGTTACGTTACATTTAACCTGTAACTATTGCTACTAATTTAATTAAATTATTTATAAAAACATTTAGCAGATTCAGAAATACATAAATATTTTCTATTTATGATGTATAACAGAGCGCATTATGCGAAATGTATAATATAATAATTAATAGCTGGAAAAAATAAGTTTAAAAAATCGATATCTCTAAATTTTAGTACAATCGTAGTATTCGATGTATCTAAGAACAGTCTGTTTATATAAGATATACATACATTTTTCTAATAATTCGCACAATAAAAGGCATTGTTTACAGTGGACCTAACGCAACGTTTCGCCGAACACTGATAGATCAAACAGAGAATCTTACCCATAACAAGCAGCCGAGACGGATTGGACAAGAGGCCGTCTTGTATGGTAAAGTCGCTGGGCGAGACCTGGCATTCCCAGAGACCGTCATCGTAGGACAGAGCGACGTTCCTTATCTGCAGGGTGCAGTCGTTATCGCGCTTACTCGCCCACTCGTATTTGCCCTGTTGCATGCCCACCAGCCTATTATCCTTCTGCCAAACGCATTCCCCTCGCTTGTTATGCACCATGCAGGGCAGCTGCACACTGTCACCGGCCGATACTTCCTGGTAGTCTGGTGGCATTTCGACAAAATGTTGTATGCCGACGACGATGCGCGTTGTGTACGCGATCAGAAATATCGAGAAACGGATCAAGAAATCGATCGTCATTTTTGCGCGATGGTACCAGTGAATTCGCGATTAATTCAACGAAGGCATTTTCGTCAGGGACTGGCGAAAGGATTAGTCCAAACGTGCTTTTTCGATGTGCGGTTTGAAATTTTGCGGATTAAAAAATATATAGATTTGAGGAAACGTTCAAATTCGGAAATTTATAAAGCTAGGAATTTTTCAATGAATTAAAAATTAAAACGTTTGAAAGGATTTGTAGATTCGAAAATTTGTAGCAACGAGGATTTAAGGCGGATCTCATAAGCTGTGGACTCTTTGGGTGTGAAAGCATAAAGATCTATGAAAATCTGTATGCTGTGAAAAATTTCATAGGAATTTATGAAACAATTGATTCTTAAAACAATATAATTAATGAAATCACTCAATCAATCAAATTAATTTTGAAAAATAATCTATTGACAATCTACTATTCGATCAATTATATTTCTATGCACACGACGCACAGTCAAAGATCAATCTGAAGCACAATTCGTGGGAAAACATAGTTCACACATCTACGTTACGTTCTCAAGATCATAGGTCCACTCGCGTATAAACAGATCATACGCTGCCTTTCGCCAGCAATCGATGGAGTAAATCATTCGTAATCGCGGAACATTCACTCGCGAATCTCACGTTCGGAAATCCGCAGCGCGGACTCGCCCAAGTATGCTGGCATTTTATTACCACTACTAATATCGCGAAAGTACGCGGATGATTGGTTCTGCAATGATTCCAAGAATGCTTTCACCAGTATCGCTTCGTCTTGTTTTGCGCGATGCAAGTTTTTTTATAAAATCTTGAAAAAGTTGTTTGTGATAACTGAAAATTGTTATTGATTTACACAGCACTTGTTTGCAATTTCTGCTAATAACTGATTTTATAACAATAATTGAATATTTATCGTTGACACAACTGATAGCGATTATAGCTACGTAGAGAAGCGCGCACGATCATCCGGTGGCAGTAAACACTGACTGAATGAGCCGCCTTCACATTCGAAGGGTCGTATTTCCACGCGACCAACGCAGCGCTCTTGCCGCCGGATCGCTGAACCATTTCTTATCCTCCCTTTCTATAATCCATTATCCTTCCTTTCCATAATCTTTATCCTTCTTTCTTTTGGGATAATCCGACAGATTTTAACCTTTATCATTTTCAAAGAAAAAAATTCTGAAAAAAACATAATCAGCAAACTGAATAATATCTTCTGTATGTTTCAATTCAATACTATTCAATGGATTCAATTTTATAAAACTTCTTATAATCTTATTAATATAAAAAGATCAATAATATTATCAATAACTCAATAATTATCAGTAACTCAATAATTTGACAATTGAAATATTACAAAACTTAAATATTATGCAAGAAATAAAAAAAAAACATTGATTTTCTATAAAATTCTTATCCAAAATATTATCGCATAACATAAAATTTACTATAAACTGCTGCGTCTTTAAATATATCAATTTTTATATATTTTAAATTTTATAAAATTAACAATTGACGCTTTTTTAAATGTAGTAATAATTGACGCTTTTTTTATGTAGATCTAATATTATGTGGTTGATGCAATTCATGGTGCAAATGTATACGCAATAAGAGAAAGTAGAGATATAGTAAAATACACGTATAATGTTATATATTAAAAATTCATCTTGGCTATAAGTTTGATAAAAATTTCATAATTCTCGACAATTCTTTGTAAAAGACTGAAAAAGAAAATCAGATATATTTTTGTAAAAAGAATCACATCCGAAAGGGTTAAAGTAGCGCGACGACGATGGAGTACGCGGCGCGGAAAATGTGCGTGGTAAATAGAGTGAGCGTCCAGGACGCGTGGTTCCAGCGGCACGACGCGGAACGCCGCGACTAGTGTAATTAACTCGTTGAAAATAATAAATTATTCTCTTCTCTGCAAAACAATTTATTAAATATTTATTAAACAGTCTTATAAAAGAAAGACTGTAAGCTTAAAATCTTTAGAATTATCTACGATAGTAAAATATCACAAATCCGAGAACTGAATTACTTTTTCCCTTGGAAATAATTTATTTCATATAAAATTTATTATAGAATGCAATTGTTTAATTGTCGAAAATGTGAAATTATGAAAGTAAAATTGAAATTTAGTTATAAAAGTTAAAAATCTCAAACAGCTGATTGTAGTCCATGAATTTATATGGATTTAATACCATAAATATCGTGAGTTTAAGTTGAATTCATCGAGTTATTTAACGGTCGTGAGAGATTTATGTGCTAGATTAATGAACTTGTATTGTCATTTTTTAGCATGATAAAATCCAAACTCTGCATTTTACATAGAGCTCTACTCCGGTTCCACATCGTGCGTCATAGTAACCGGACTGAAAGCGGAAGACAGACCCCAAACGCGGACTCACGCGTGCGTATCCAACCCTGTATCCTCTGTGCAGTGTTATCCTTATTATTCGAGCGTGTTATCGCAGTCATGTGTGCCATAATGCATTTTGGGTTAGGTTTGTTTGATTTAATTTCCTTTTGCCATTCATGCGTTGTACTCTTGCTTTTCCCTTTAAATATTCAAAAATTGTCATTATTGCGAATTAAAATACATAAATAATAGATGATAAATGATCAGTACTATAAAATACGAATCATGTTAATGATGTCATAATAAAAACTACATTTTATTGCAAGTTCTTTGGCGCACAGCTTCCGATTTATTGTTTTCGATAACTTGAAATTTTTGCGTAAGAACGATTTTTTGAGGTTTGTCGGAAAGACAATTCGAGGTTTCCTGACATTCAGAATATTCTCGTTAATACGATCTTACCTTTTTTTAATTCATCTGATTGAGAGAGAATGTACATTCATCCGCATCTGAATAAAAAAATTGCACAATGCAACATGCAGAGTAAGTAATTCGGACAACTGCACATACGTGGCGTTCTAATCATTTTCCGCAGAGAAAAACCTGCAAGTTACCATCTAAGCAGTAGGACACTTATCGACCTTTACTATACCGACATCTACTATATAGTAGTACCATCTACAGCTTGGAATTTGAACTGCATAGCTACTTGCGGTTATCTAGCGGTAGCTACGCGAACTACCTCATCGGCCGAATGTTTCTTTCAAACGTAACACGTAATGAAAATGTTCTCGATTAATTGCGTATTTTATCTGTATTAAAAGTAAAATGAGTGTGATTTTCTGTCGGGAGTGCCGATTAAAGTGACGGGCGATTACCGGAGTGTATTATTTGCCGCGGATATTCGCGATTAACAGTGTTTCGACGACTACCATTTGGCGGCCGGACGGCGGCGTCAAGCAGGTTATAATTCCAGCGAGAGTAGATTTTGAATTTGTGCGTTCTGAACAGATGCGTTGGATGCAGAGAAAAAGGTAAGAGCACGTTTGACGAGAATATCTTTGAATATCCTTATCAGGAAACTTTGAATTAGTTCTTCTTGACGAATCTCGAGATATTGTTTCTAATTAGAAGCCTCGAGATATCTGATAAATCATTGAACAAATTGTACGATTCACAGCTTTTGCGCCATAGCAATAAAAATACACAATACTATTGATTTTTATAACACAATTAACGCGTCACAATTTTGCAGTATCTCTTTATACCGGTTACTAAATGTTGTCAACGTTTGAAAAAGAGTGAACACATATAAAGCGCAAACTTTACATACCTAACCGAAAACGTCGCTAAGCGACATAACCATATACCTACAAAGACCTATACCATATACCATATATCATATACCATATAGAATTGATAGAATATAACGCATTTGAATAACACTGATAACTTCAATTCCTGCTGATAAACGCGGTTATTTTATAATAAAGTACAAAGAATTGACACGAAAGTTGTATCTGACTAATTGGTAACTGCGATTTCTCGCAATATAAATGCGCGATGAATATTCGCATTGAATTTATAAACGATCCCAGTTATTTCCGCGCGCGCGGCAATCAATTCGCAGTAATTATACCCGTTACAGCGCGCGCACCGTCCTCCCTTTTGAGCTTTTGAACTTTCGCTTCAATATCGTCGCGCGTTATGCAGATTATCGTAAAAACATTTAAACGCATTAACGCCGGGGCTTTGCGCGGTAGCGCGCAATCGTTTATCGCATCATTCTCGCGACAGCGAAACTTTATGCTCGCTAGTTTTTATCGTAGATTGAGCCGCGAGTCGTGTTTTTCAATTTAACCTGGCTGTAGCTCGCTTTGTGTGTGCGAGGTGATTACGAAATTACACGAATGCATGCATCGCATTTCGATTAAAACGAACACGGTGTTCTTCCGGCTGATACTTTCATTGAAAAAAAAATCCGGCGGCGAAATGCTGCGAATATCGATGATAATGTCGTCCGTGAAACGTGACCCACGCGATCGATATTCTTGTAGCAATAAATATTTCATGTCGTACACGTGTCTTCGCGCAAACTTGCGTATTTATTACTAACTTATGGTGCTAAATCGTGATACACTTTGTACCACGAATGAGAAGTGATGAACCGTAACAAGAAAGTTACGCTAAAATTGTGTGCCGTCTTGCACATCTTTGCGTTGCAATTTTGCAATACTGCCTGATGATTCTATATATTCTATTTTATAAAATATTTAATGTTTTTGCATGATTTTAAATATAGAATATAATATTACATTATATTTTATATTAATAGATTTTCGTTAAAATTTTAATTTGATAGTTTTCTAATGGAAAATTAATAACAAAACTTTTTTGACAATTTATATATTTACGTAGATTTAAATTAATAAAAAGTTATTTTTAAAAATATTTTAATAAACATTTTGTTAGTTAATCGAATTTTAATTCAAGATTTAATTACTTACTTAAATTACTTAAATGCTGGTGTAACATTAAAGATTGGAAAACTGCGATTAGCTGGCTTTGGACTAAATTTTCATTAAGATTTTTAATTTCTCAGCACATACACAGTTAAGGTATTAAATATCATCAAAAGCGAGAAAAAGATTATATTAATTTTTTTTTACATTAAGCCCGCTTCAGACGATAATTACGACAGATTTGAAATAAAAATTTACTTGCAACTTTATGTAACAGGAAAAGTTGGAAGAATTGGAATACGCATATATAAAATACATATCATAGATATATATTTTATACATGTGTATACTCCAATTCGAAATATTTTCCACGTGTTATGCGGTATATTAAATTATAAATAGAATTTTATTTTAAATTCTGTTACAAAGTATAGAAGTATACGTTTAAGGTGAATTTTATGATTAAAACAAAGTTTCTTCGTATAATTATATCATACATTTTTTTTATGAAAATAACTCGCGATATTATTATACGTATATCAATGAAGTTAAAATCTTTTTACATGAAACATCTATTTTTTCCAAAATATTCCATAACGTGAAGATTAATGTCGGCGTTGTAATAGATAATGGTCCCGATATTTACCGCGACAACTCTTAGAATCGTTGCGCGATATCTCGGCGGCAATTCTCAACGGCGAAATTGGCGGCAGTATATTACGCGACGGTGGGGATATCGAATGGAAGGAGTCCTCATTGTCACCGCGCAAGATCTCGGATTTCGTTCTTATCCTCGGACACAAGCGGCGAAAACTTTCCAAGATAAACTCGGTCGGCGACGTTCCCGAAACGGTTTCCGGCTTTTCCGTAGACCCAGATCCGCGTGCGTACGCCGAAAATGCGATTTCGTAATCTCGTAGAAAGTATATAGTTGCACGCCTTCTTCTTCTTCCTTACACCGTTCGAGATACCGAGATATAGATACGGAATGGGGCCGGGATTGGGTTGGTAAGAGAAAATACGGGGGGGATGGGCGGCCGGGGCGCGGTCGAGGAAGGATTTGGGATATCTCATGGATTCAGGGAGTAGCCGCCGGAGGCGTTCAACCAATTAGCTAACTCTACGGCACTTCGCCCTCGAAACCGCTAACGAAGAAGCTAAGCGAACGAAGAAAACCGGCGTGGAAGGAGGTAGGGTGCGGGAGAGGAGTAAGGGAGGTAAAATTCACCTACTCCTGCGGGGACGCGGCTGCTTGCGGTGTGGATTCGCTCGAGGGTATTTCTCGATGTTTCTGCTCAATCCTCCGAGGACGTATGGTACATATAAATTATGCTTGAGTTTGTTGCGTATCGGGATTTGACATTTTAAACTTAAAGCTTCTTACATTTCTCTTGATGTGCGTTGGGAAGCTAAAGAAACGATTAACTGCAAAAGTACAACTACATATTACTCTCATGAGATCATGTTTCTCTTAAAAAATTATCGCGCATATTAAATTTATTACTTTTTTTTATATTAGAACAATAATTGATATTTAACAGTGATTGATATTTTTTCTACATTATTATTTTTAATATCTAATATTTAATATTTAATACTTATTTTATTTTTGAGTAAGTTATATATATTTTTAAATCTTTGATTTTATTATTATTATTGCCCTATAAGAATATTTCTAAACTTTATTAAAATATTTTTAAGAATTGGCTTTTTTGAAATATTTTATGTACGTGGATTTTCAAAAATATTTATTTATAGTCTCTGTTTTTAGCAGTCATACATTTGACAAAATATTCCATACAGATATCTTTTATAACTTATTTTTATGAATTATTGCTATTGTGAAAACGGCAAATAGCAATTTTAGTTTTGGATTGAGACAACACGTGGGGTATTGTACGAGAAGTAATAGGTTTTCCAAATCTATCTGTTGCTTGCATTTCTACTATCTAATTTATATTGTTACCCGAGGGAAAAGATACACGTTTCGCGAATCACATATGCGAGTTATTTCGTATTTTATGAAAGAAATACATATACATTCTTTCATTATTAAAATGTTCCCTCTCAATTTTGATAAAAAAAATTAATAGTGTACATCACGTGTTTTAATTTAGAGCTAACCGCTTCGAATTGAGAATTATAAATTATAAATTATGAGTTAGTATTTATGTCTGTGAGATAGATTATTCGCTCTTCGACTACTTTGCGGTTCTTTTTTTGCTCGGTGGCTGAGATTCTTCTTCAAAAAAAGGAACTAGGAATTGCAGCATTCAGATCGCTAAGTTTTCATCTTCGTTGCTATTTAGCGCGCTTCGAAAAGTGCCTCGGGGCTATGAGAATGTGGAGATGACCGAACTGATAGAAGTGACGGAAGCGATAGAAAAAAGATAAGTATTGAGAACAAAATAGATATATATATATATATATATATATATATATATATATAAAATACAAAGATGAGACACATATATAGAAAGGAAAAAGTTTGGAGAGGAATGATATCTTCTTTTTGATGGAGATATGACAACGAAAGAGAGTTAGCAACGTTATGTAATAAGAATAATGAGTTTTTATTCGCGGCCAGAGATGGCATCGTAATTATGATATAACGGTTGCCAGTCGTTCTAAAAAAGATATAAATAATAAAAGACGCGGTTTAAGTTGAGGCCGCAGCGCGTCAAGGTTTTCGCTCGGTTTTCGTGAAATAAAAACGGCATTGGGCAAAAAAATTAATTGAAAAGATTTTAATTTAGAATAAAACAATCAGAAAGGGCTTACCGGTTCTTGAATTTCCATCTCGCAACTCGTTGATGTCGAATCTCTGTGTACGATATCGTTTCTTAGGAAGATCAAGATGAGCCGAGAGTAAAAGCGTCATTTTATCGAAAGGCAAACGTTTTTTCTTATATGCGCGTGAAATTGCTGTTTGCCCCGTCCATTGCTCAAGCTGGCTTGACTTTTATCAAGTAGAAGGACTTTAATATCGCTGGAGTACGGCTATGTTTGGATTACAAGTGAGGAAACAGCGCAGCAGCTCTTCTCCTTTGCGTCAAACGCATTAAATTCTC